TCAGGATGGATCACAACGTCACCACGCAGTCTGAGCACAAGCAAAAGGCCACAAGGCCAGTTCACATGCAGATATATAAACATATATGTAACAACAATAGCATAGTGATCTCTACCTACCAGAGCAAGCATGCACGTATACATATAGATCACAGTACAAACAAAGCCTACAGCAAGTGAGGAAGTGTGTGCACAAGGACTAACAAAGTACAGAAACGCTGATGATCACCGGGCGGAAGCGCCTTGGTTAATATATCAGCAGTGTTGGCCCGAGTGGCCACGTAAGCAAGACGAAGCTGGCCACGCTGCTGCAGCTCTCGAGCAAGGAAGTAACGCAGAGCGATGTGCTTCGTACTCTGCTCCAGTCTGTGCTCCTAACACAAGGCAATGGTGGCCTTGTTGTCGACGTACAGCACTGGAGGGAAAACGAGGCCGCTCTCCCAAGTCGGTCAGCAGGTAGGTGAGCCAGCGTAGCTCCTGTGCCGCCATAGCCGTGGCGTAGATCTTGGCCTCACAACTGGAGCCGAGAACTGAAGATGAGTGTGTAGAACGCCAGGAAACTTAACCAGAACCAAGGCTGAAGGGGTAACCCTGTGACGACCGCTGCATAGCCTGGTCGTCAACCCAAGAGGCGTCTGAGTGACCAGTAAGGACAATGTCACCCCGTCCTCCAAGCACGAGCCCCATGCCCGATGTACTGCACAAGTAGCGTAGTACCCTCTTAGCAGTATCCATGTGTACCTTTCGGTGTCGACCAGGAGCCACATAGCGAGCCAGAAGGCCAAGATGGTACGCAAGGTCAGGACGAGTGCAGGTCATCAGGTACATGAGGCAGCCCCCTAGCTCTGGGTGCGGACCACTCGGCTCTACGGACTCGTCCGAAGGTGGAGCTGAGAGCAAGTGACCTATAGCCAGAGGAGTGGCCTGTGCTTAGGACCAAGTGAAGCCGAAGCGCTGAAGGTCCTGATGCACCATGTGTGACTGAGTTAGTGTGATGGTGCGGCGTGCTCTGTCCCGGGTGATCTGCAAGCCAAGGTAGCTGCGCAGTTCACCCAGGTCTTCTCTTCTACAGCTCTGACTTCACCAGGGCGAGAACCTCAGTGTCAGCACTGGCTAAGACCAAGTCGTCGACGTACACCAGGATGTTAGAACGGCGGCAGCAAAGTGTTAGTGCGCAGAAACATCGACGGGTCAGCAGTCGACGGGGTAAACCCAAGAGCCGCAAGAGTCGTCCTCAGTATGTCGTACCACTCACGTGGCGCCTGGCGAAGACCGTAGACTGGCCGTCGGAGACTCCACTGGGTACCATGATGGAACGACCCGGTGAAGCCACGTGGGCGGCGCAGCCAGATCTCCTCGTGCAGGCTGCCTTGTAAGAAAGCTGTGTTGAAGTCAAGAGAGTGAAGCTCGTAGTCACGCTGAGCGGCAACGTGCAGCAGTACCCAAAGAGTGGTCATCTTCGAGGTGGGGGAGAAGGTCTGGAAGAAGTCAACTCCCTCTCGCTGACTGAAACCTCGAGCAACGTAACGAGCCTTAAAGACAGGCGGAGAACCTGGCGGCCGCTTCACCCTGAAAATCCACATGCCACTGACGATGTTCGCCCCAGGTGGGGGAACCTCATCGACGTACGAGCGTTGTGGACTTCGAGGATGCCATCTTTGCGTCCATGGCTGTCTGCCACTGAGAGGAGTACTCACCCGCGATTTGCCTCAGCGTAAGAGCGCGGGGTCGGGATGTCTGGTGCATCCGGGTCTCCCTCAGGGGCAAGCAGCATGGCCACGAGATGAGGCGCAGCGCCTGCAGGACACTCAAGGTCCTCCTGCCTGTCCTCAAGGACGTCCGTGTCTAGAGCACACTCACCCCCGACAGACGGAGGAAAGAGAGACTCAGACTCAGCAACAAGGCTAGCGGCGTAGTCTAGACGACAGGCAGCAGCAAAGTCAACAAGCTCAGCGACTAAGGCAGACGCAGCAGCATACTCAAACGACGGGTCGGTGACAAAAGTGGCTAGCAGACGCGTGACAGTAGGGTGCTCAGCACGAAAGTGGTCAGACGCAGGGCCAGCAACGACCGGCAGAGAGGATGCAGGGGGAGACGGCAGGCGAACACGCGGCGGCGGAGAGGAAGGATGACGGACTACAAGGGGAGGGCCGGGGACTGCCGACTGACGCTGACGAGGAAAACGACAACTGGAACGGACAGGGGAGATAGGACGCGACGCAGGCTCACGACGCTCATCAAGGCCCCCAGTCTGCTCTATGTATGGAGAAGGAGCAGGCAGAGGTGAGCCAGGCTGTAATGGAAGACCAGTAGACGAGGGGAGACTGAGAACCTGGCGAAGCGCAGAGTCAGGCGGTGGCTGAGACGACGGAGACGGCGGAGCGAAGAACATCCGCGGTTGTTCAGCGACACCAGCACCAGCAGCTCCAGCACCTCCAGCAGCTCCAATACCCCCAGCAGCTCCAGCACCTCTAGCAGCTCTAGTACCTCCAGCATCTCGAGTACCCTCAGCAGCTCCAGTACCCTCAGCAGCTCCAGTACCTCCAGCAACTCCAGTACCCTCAGCAGCTCCAGCACCTCCAGCAGCTCCAGTACCCTCAGCAGCTCCAGCACCTCCAGCAGCTCCAATACCCTCAGCACCAGCTCCACCTGCTGCACCACCCCTAGAACCGGCACCTACAGTCCCAGGGTCTATAGCCGCAGTGCCACCAGCAGCAACACCCTCAGACACAACATCGCCAGCCCCAACAGCTCCAGTACCCCCAGTACGAGCATCTCCGGGACAAGCGACACCACTATCTCCAGTAGGCAAAGGACCAGCACCACTCCCAGCTCCAGTGACGCCAGCAGAAGAACCCCCAGCAGTAGAGCCCTGAGGTGTAGAAGCGCGACGCTGACGGCGACCGTACCAGTCGTGCAGCTGCTGGGAGGTGAGAGGCAAACGCGGACGAAGACGGCTACTCCAAGGAGACCGCGTAATAGCAGTCTCAGAACCCTCAGGCGACTCACCCCCAGACTCAGCACCCCCAGGCTCCGCACATGCAGGCTCGGCACCCCCAGACGCAGCACCCCTAGGCTCAGGACCTCCAGGTTCCTCACGCGCAGGCTCAGCACCTCCACGCTCCGCACCCTCAGGCTCCTCACGCTCAGCGCCCCCAGACTCAGCACCCTCAGGGACAGCACCGCTCCCAGCAGGACCGGAGTCACCAGTGACCTCATAAGGCGCAGGGACGGGAGGGTCTACCTGAGAAACACCTGAAGGAGCAGGATCTGGCGCGGGGAGAGGGTCTACCTGGGGAGGACCTGGGGCGAGAAAGAGCGGCGGGAGGGGGCGAGGAGCAGTGCGGTAGGGGAAGAGGCGGTAAAAGGGGGCCGACTCGTCAAAGGTGACGTCCTGAGACGCAAAGACACAGCGCGAGGCGGGGTCGTAAAACTGCCAGCCAGGCGCGTTAGGGACAAAGCCAAGGAAGACGCAAGGAATGGCGCGAGGGGAGAGTTTGTTTGCGGTGGTATCGCGGACAAAGGCACGAGCACCTTAGACCCGGAAACGCGGACGCGTCGCCAACCTTCCCCGTCCACAGCAGTGTGGGCAAGGTCTCCGGCAAGGAGACACGGGGCCAAAGGTTGAGCTGATGCGCGGCGTTCCGGACCGCAAACGGCCACAGAAAATGGGGGGCAGCCGCATGGATCATGGAGGTACGAGCGACCTCCATGACTAAGCCAATGCGGCGCTCAACAACCCCATTCTGCTGCGGAGAGGCCAGAAGTGTGAAAGTCTGGCAGATGCCGTGCTCCGCACAGAAGGCTGCCAAGAGGTCTGAGAAGAACTCACCACCTCTGTCAGAGTGCAGACGCAGGATAGGAAAGTCCGACTGGAACCGCTCGCGGAGCAGGATACGAGCAGCGCGGATCCAGGGGATCAAAACATCAAGGACATCCCCCTTGCGCTCAAGGGGAAGACCGTGGTGTAACGCGTGTAGTCGTCGACAACCAGCAGGAAGTACCGCTCGTGGCCCTGTCCACGGACGCGAGCTGGGCCCCACACGTCCAGGTGGAGAGTCTGCAGCGGAGCCTCTGTGGGAGGGAACGAGGAGGAGTGAGGAGCGGCGCGCTGCCGCCCCTCGACGCAAGGAATGCAGGGCAGCGCAGGCGAGGGAGGGAGGGCAGGCGGAGACCTGGGAAGACGAGAGACCAGGAAGCGAGAGCGCATGCTACGAAGGCGAGGCAGGGAGGGGTGACCAAGGCGGTGGTGCCACAGGAGAGTGTTGTGCGACAACCGGCGACACTCACACTGTTTAGCTATCTGAGCAGACGCGTGTAACTGGGGAGACAAAGTGGCGGAGCGCGACGCAGTGGTGAGGGTGTACAAACTGGGCCCTGGCACACGAGTGAACGTGGCCAGGTGGCGGCCGGTCCGGGAGCACATGCAAACTGCCACACGCCGCCGGCCAGGGGTGAAGGTGTCAACCCCCGCATCCTGGAGGACACTGTTACTCACCAAGTTCGTAGAGAACGAGGGGAGGTGGAGACCAGATAGCTCACCAGACGAGACCGCCGGGACACGGGAGCACTGTGGAAGACTGTGCAAGCACTGGGCCCCCAGAGGGGTCATCCAGTGAGACAATACAGGTGTAGGGAGGGGAGTGATTGTGGTATTATCGCGAAAGAAACAGCGGGAAGCACCAGAGTCAAGTGTAAAGGTGTGCAAGCGCAGTACCAAGGGGAGCAGACTCACAAGCACCTAGTGCTGCAGGGGCTATTCCAGGGGCTATACCAGGATCCGGCGGCACACACAAGTAGCAGTCACCCTCAACAGTAACAGTCAATGCATACATAGCAGCAAGAATAGCCTCATAGTCAAGATCAAAGATAGGTACATCACGCCAAAGCAGGTATGCCCAGTTGGGGAACTCCAGTAGCATCAGGAAACTTGGCGCGCCAGGCGTCGCTAAGCCGAGCGAAGCAGCGCTGCTCAGTGTGAAACCCTGTGCATTGGCGACCATGGGTGCAAATGATATAGGGGCAACAACCAGGACCCCTAGAAGCCCCACGCCCGGCATACCAGTCAAGAAGCTGCTGGGAAGTGGGGGTCTCGCGCTGACGCTGCTGCTGCTGCTGCTGCGACTACTGCTGGCCCTGACCACCACTGCCACCACCGCTCCCCTCCTCCCCCACCACCGCTGCTGCCATCTCCACCGTTCCCAGTGCCTCCATCTCCTCCACCACCACCTCCACCGCCTCCACCCCTACGGCCAACCCCACCACCTCCACCTCCCCCGCCGTCTGCACCACCGCCACCTCCACCGCCACCCCCACCTCCCCTGCCACCCTTGCCGCCCCTGCCGCTGCAACGCTTCCCACTAGGAGCGGAAGCAGCCCCGACCTCCTCAAAACCAAGGTAGTCGTGAGCAGCAGCTGCGGAGGCGTAGGAGGGGGTGAGAGGGGAGGGGGAGCACCCCTCAAAGAGGGGAGAGCGAGGAGTGCCACGAGCAGCACCTACAGCGAGGATGTTCTTCTGTGCTGCGAGGAGGTGCTTCTCAAAGTCGTCGACAGTAAGAGTGGTGGGGTCTAGCACTAGGAAGTGGTCCCTGACAGAGCTAAGAGTGTCAGGGAGGAGGGTGATGCGGAAATAGAGAGTGGAGTACATCGGGGGGGGGGGGGGGGGGGGGGGGTTGCGGCGCAGAACTCGGCTGAAAGGGCGGCACGAAAGCGAGTGTTAGTAGCGCGCAGGTGGGAAATGAGGTCCGCAGCAGTGATGAACGAGGAAAGGTCGGGGAATAGGTAGGGTAGCATGAGCCGACCTCTGGGTGCAGTGGCCGGGGAGGAGTAGCGCGCAACAACAGCGTCGTACAGTGTCTTAGTAGTTTTGTGCTGGCTGAAATGCGCGCGCTCAGTAATCGGCAGATGGCTCCTAATAGTTAGGCGTGCAGCAGCATCGCGCGTCTTGCACTGTGAGCGTTCGAGAGCAGGAGCATCAGCAGCAGGAGCAACGGCAGTGCCAGACACGTAATCGAACAGTGAAACGCCCTCTTGCGACCTCCTCCACTGTCCTCCCCTGTCCGGCCGTCCCGTCGGGCACACTGTCCGATCTCTACCTCCCCTCGTTCTCTACAAACTTGGTCGCGGGTAGTGCGCTCCAGGACAGGGGTGTCCACCACTTCACCCCTGCCTACGAGCGCGTGACACACTGCACGCGTGCTCGGACGGGCCGTCACCTGGCGACCTTCACACGGCAGCCGGGGTCGGACCTGTACACACTGACTACTGAGTCCCCACAGGTAGATGCGTCTGCGTCTGCGTCAGGTCAGCTGTCCGCCCCCTGCTCGTGCCGCTCTCTGGCGCACGAGACAGTCCTATGGCACCACCGACTTTGGGCAATGTACAAACGTTACCTTGTCTCTAGTCTTCCCAGGGTTCTCCCTCCCCTCCCACCCTCGCCTGCTCCTCCCTGCCTTCCTTGTGTCGAGGGGCGGCACCGCGCTGCTCCTCACTCCTCCTCGTTTCCCCCGACGACTGCTCCCTTGCAGACGCTCCACATGGACATGTGGGGCCCCGCCCGCGTCCGTGGTCAGGGTCAGGAAAGGTACTTCCTGATAGTTGTTGACGACTACTCGCGCTACACCACGGTCTTCCCCTTGCGCACCAAGGGTCAGGTCCCTGATGTTTTGATCCCTTGGATCCGCGCTTCTCATCTTCAGCTCAGCGAGCGTTTCCACTCGGACTTTCCTGTCCTGCGCTTGCACTCTGACAGAGGTGGTGAGTTCTCTTCCGACCTCTTGGCAGCCTACTGTGCGGAGCACGGCATCCGCCAGTCGTTCACGCTTCCGGCCTCTCCACAACAGAATGGGGTTGCTGAGCGCCGCATTGGCTTGGTCATGGAGGTCGCTCGTACCTCCTTGATCCATGCGGCTGCCCCCCACTTTCTGTGGCCGTTTGCGGTCCGATACGCTGCGCATCAGCTCTGTCAAACATTATATATGTTGTGTTAGTTTAGGCTACAGTGGGTTAGCCTATAGGGGGTACACAATTCTAGGGTTAGGTACTTGTACTCATTTCACTGCTAGTTCATTCATTCCTGTTCAGTGATTCCAACATGGTATAGAGCAGGTCCTTCCTAGGACCGAAATTTTCTAAGGGCCCACCACTACGTAACTACCTACCTACCTACCTACCTGTGCCCTAGGGCGCCTCGGCGTGTCACGCCCCTAGAGGCCCCTCTTGACGACCCCGCGCTAGCCCCGTTCAGGCCCCGTCGGCCCCACGCCCGCTCTCCCTAGCGGCCCCGTTCAGGCCCCGTCGGCCCCTTTAAGGCCCCGTTCAGGCCCCGCGCTAGCCCCGTTCAGGCCCCGTCGGCCCCGTTTCAGGCCCCGTCGGCCCCGCGCTAGCCCCTCTCAGGCCCCGTCGGCCCGCACTAGCCCCGTTTTCAGGCCCCGTTGGCCCCGTTTCAGGCCCCGTCGGCCCCGCGCTAGCCCCTCTCAGGCCCCGTCGGCCCCGTTCCAGGCCCCGTCGGCCCCGCGCTAGCCCCGTTCAGGCCCCGTCGGCCCCTTGCTAGCCCCGTCAAGGCCCCGTTTGGCCCCGCGCTAGCCCCGCTCAGGCCCCGATCGGCCCCGCGCTCGCCCCTCTAGGGCCCCAACCGGCCCCGTGCCGACCTCGCCGACCCGTGCCCACCACCTAGAGGCCCCGGGCGGCCCGTTCCCGCCGCAGCACACGACTGAGAGCGGGCGGCCCGTCCCCGCCGTGACCCGAGCCGCGCGACCCGAGCCGCGCGCCCCGAGCCGAGCCGCGCGCCCTGAACCGAGCCGCGCCACCCACCCGAGCCGCGACCCGACCTGAACCGAGCCGCGCCTCCCTGCCCTACCTGGTTCGTCCTACCTGCTTCTCCTACTGCTACTGCTGCTATTTCTACTGTTCCTATGGCTAGCCCACAGGTTCTCGTGTTCGATGCTGAGGGCCCGCCCTGTGAAGTTTGACACCTGGCTCGATGACCTGCACCTCTACCTACAGCTCACAGCCAAGGATGACATCTCACTGTACGATCACGCCCTAGGCCATGTCACTGCCCCTGCTGCTACTGCTGACAGCACTGCTCGCTCACAGTGGCAGACTCGTGATGCCCACACTCGCTTCGCCATTCGCAACTCCCTGCCGATAGACGAACGCGAGCACTTTGGTCAGCACAAGACTGCACAGGCACTGTACACAGCTGTAGTTGCTCGCTACTCCTCACCTGCCTCTGCCGCACTAGGCCGTCTCTCCCTCCCCTACCTGTTTCCCGACCTGGCCTCCTTTCACACAGTCGCTGACCTCATCACGCACCTCCGTACTAGTGAGGCCCGCTTCCGTGCCGCCATGCCTGCTGAGTTCCTTGCCACGCACCCCCCTCCACTCTAGCTCACTCTCTACCACCTAGTCACCCGCCTCCCTGACACACTGCGTGCTGTCAGGGACCACTTTCCTAGCTCGTTGCCCCACTGAGCTCACCATTGCCCTCCTCGAGAAGGAGCTACTTGCAGCTGAGACTAGCATAGTCGCTGTAGGTGCCTCTCGTGGCGACCCCCGTACCCCGTTCTTTGAGGGGTGTTCTCCTTCCCCCCTTCTTCCCTCTGTTGCCTCTATTGCTGCTGTCGACCTTCTTGGTACTGAGAAGGTCGGCGCTGCGTCTGCCTCGAGCGGACGCCGCAGCGGCAAGGGCAAAGGGGGCAAGGGTGGTGGCGGTGATGGCGGGGGAGGCGGCGGTGGGGGCGGTGGAGGCAGTGGGGGTGGTGGCTCGGCTGGAGGGGCGAGTGGTAGCGGTGGGGGTGGTGGCGGCAGCGGCGGGGGAGGTGGCAGGAGTGGAGGCAGCGGTTGGGGTGGCGGTGGACGAGGCGGCGGCAGGGGTTGGGGTGGTCGAGGAGGTGGCAGCGGTGGTGGTGGCCGTGGAGGCACTGGCGGTGGCCAGGGCCAGCATCACACTCCCTCGCCCCAGGAGGTCCGTGAGTGGTACTCTCAGCACGGGGGGGGGGGGGGGGGGGGGGGGGTGGTCTTAGCTGCACGTACGTCATTCGCACTGGTGACCGCACTGGTCAGCAGTGTGGACGACCGCACGCCACACAGCGCTGCTTCTCTCGTCTCGACGACGCTTGGCGTGTTCAGTTCCCTCAGGCCACTGAGCTGCCCCGCTGGCTTGATCTCCTGAAGAAGGGGATTGATATCTATGCTCTAGACTTTGATGCTATTCTATCTGCCATGTATGTGATGTCTACTAGTGGAGAGGGTGCTAAGTACTTGTGTGTGCCGCCCGACCTGGGCATTAGGGCCAGTGCGTCTGCCGCTCCAGGTACTCGCGTGTCGGCTACCCCAGGTGCTGGTGAGGCTGCTGCTCTAGGTGCTCGTGTTTCTCCCCCCCTTGGTACTACGTCGACTGCCGCACTGCACACCTTCACACTAGACTCAGGTGCTTCTCGCTGCTTCTTTCGTGACCGCACTGCCCTTGAGCCGCTTGCTCGGCCAGTTGCTGTCTCCCTTGCTGACCCCTCTGGGGGTCCGGTCATTGCGACCTCTTCCACTGTCCTTCCCTGCCCTGCGGTCCCGTCGGGCACACTGTCAGGTCTCCACCTCCCCTCGTTCTCTACGAACTTGGTGGCAGGATGTGCACTCCAGGACGGGGGTGTTCACCAGTTCACCCCTGCCTACGAGCGCGTGACACACTGCACGTGTGCTCGTACGGGCCGTCACTTGGCTACCTTCACTCGGCAGCCGGGGTCGGACCTGTACACACTGACTACTGAGTCCCCTCAGGTTGCTGCGACTGCGTCCGCGTCCGCGTCAGGTCAGCTGTCCGCCCCCTGCTCGTGTCACTCTTTGGCACACGAGACTGTCCTCTGGCACCACCGCCTTGGCCACCCGTCTGTGCAGCGGCTTCGTGCCATGCACTCCCGGTACCTTGTCTCTGGCCTGCCCAGGGTCCTTCCTCCCCTCCCACCCTCGCGTGCTCCTACCTGTCTCCCCTGTGTCGAGGGACGGCAGCGCGCCGCTCCTCACTCCTCCTCGTTCCTCCCGACGACTGCTCCCTTGCAGACACTCCACATGGACGTGTGGGGCCCAGCCCGCGTCCGTGGTCAGGGTCAGGAGAGGTACTTCCTGATAGTTGTTGACGACTACTCGCGCTACACCTCGGTCTTCCCCTTGCGCACCAAGGGTGAGGTCCCTGATGTCTTGATCCCTTGGATCCGCAGAGTCCGTCTCCAGCTCAGCGAGCGTTTTCACTCGGACTTTCCTGTCCTGCGCTTGCACTCTGACAGAGGTGGTGAGTTCTCCTCCGACCTCTTGGCAACCTACTGTGCTGAGCACGGCATTGAGCAGTCGTTCACGCTTCCGGCTTCTCCACGGCAGAATGGGGTTGCGGAGCGCCGCATTGGCCTGGTCATGGAGGTCGCCCGTACATCCTTGATCCATGCGGCTGCCCCCCACTTTCTGTGGTCGTTTGCGGTCCGGTACGCTGCGCATCAGCTCAACCTCTGGCCCCGTGTCTCCTTGCCGGAGACCTCGCCCACGCTGCTGTGGACGGGGGAGGTTGGCGATGCGTCGCGTTTCCGGGTCTGGGGGTCTCGAGCTTTTGTCCGCGATTCGTCTGCGGACAAGCTCTCCTCCCGTGCTGTTCCCTGCGTCTTCCTCGGCTTTGTCCTGGACGCGTCTGGTTGGCAGTTTTACCACGCCACCTCGCGCCGAGTCTTGCCCTCCCAGGACGTCACTTTTGACGAGTTCGTCCCCTACTACCGCCTCTTCCCCTACCGCACTGCCCCGCTCCCCCCCCGCCTCTCTTCCTCGCGCCAGGTGCTGCTGTTGCAGACCCCCTCCCCCCTCAGGGTGCCGCTCCCTCAGGTGTGTCTCAGGTAGACCCGGTTGAGCCTGTTGAGGTAGCTGTCGACTCTCGTCCTGCTGGGGGTGCAGAGCCTGGGGGTGCTGAGCCTGGGGGTGTGGAGCCTAGGGGTGTGGAGCCTGGGGGTGTGGAGCCTGGGGGTGTGGAGCCTGGGGGTGTGGAGCTTGAGGGTGCTGAGCTTGGGGGTGTGGAGCCTCGTGGTGCTGAGCTGCGGAGTCCGGAGTCTGGGGGTTCTGAGTATAGAGGTACTAGGCCTCGGAGTCCTGCACCTGGAGGAGCCCTCTCCTCGGAGCACCTGCGTGCGTGGTACTTAGAGTACTGCAGCCTCCGGAGAGGTACCGCTCGAGCCGGACGTACTACTGGGACTGGTGCTAGTGCTTCTTCTCCCGTTCGGGAGCTCCCCTCCCGCGAGCGGATCCGTGAGTTGTACGAGCGGCGCTGCACTCTTCGGAGTGGCGTGCCTCGTGTTACGGACCCCGCTGCTGTTGGAGCTGCTGCTGGTGCTGAAGACCCGGGCGTTGGAGCTGCTGCTGGTACTGAGGACCCGGGCGTTGGAGCTGCTGTTGGTGATGAGGACCCAGGCGTTGGAGCTGCCGCTGGTGCTGAGGACCCGGGCGTTGGAGCTGCTGCTGGTGCTGAGGACCCGGGCGTTGGAGCCGCTGCTGGTGCTGAGGACCCGGGCGTTGGAGCTGCTGCTGGTGTTGAGGACCCAGGCGTTGGAGCTGCCGCTGGTGCTGCGGACCCGGGCGTTGGAGCTGCTACTGGTCCTGAGGACCCGGGCGTTGGAGCTGCCGCTGGTGCTGAGGACGTGGGCGCTGGAGTTGCTGCTGGTGCTGCGGATCCTGGTGCGGGTGTCCCTGCTGGCTCTCGTGTCGCTGCTTGGTCTCGGCCGTACTTTGTTCCGCTCCTTCAGCAGGTTCTTGGTCAGCTTCCTCCTCCTTTTCCTCCTCCCTCCTTAGCGTGTCCTCCGCCTGTCCACCTACAGTCGGCGTTACCGTCTGCCTCCTTTCTCCCTGGTCCTGCTCCTTACACTGGTCCGACAGGAGGTCTTACTGAGCGGCGTGAGCCTGCGTCTCGTCCTGCGTCGCCTGAGTCTCGTCCTGAGTCGCCTGTACGCACTGCTCTTTCTAGTAGTCGAGTCCAGCGTCAGCGTCTTCCTGCTGTCCCAGGCACTCATTGGATGGCGCTTCGTCCGTCCACTGCTCCACAGCGTGTCCCACTGCCGTCTCCTCCTGCTTCCTCTCTTCCTGCTCTTGCTTACCCTGGGTCAGACTCTCTTCGTGCTACCAGTCCTACTGTCACGCGTCTCCTGGCTACTGGTGTCACTGACCCTTCCTTTGAGTCTGCTGCTGCGTCTGCCTTAGTTGCTGAGCTTGTCGACTTTGTTGCTCGCTGTCGTCTAGACTACGCTGCTAGCCTAGTTGCTGAGTCTGAGTCTGTCTGTCCTCCGTCCGTCGGGGGTGAGTGTGCTCTTGACACTGACGTCCTTGAGGACAGGCAGGAGGAGTTTGAGTGCTTTGCTGCCGCTTTGCCCCATCTCGTGTCCATGCTTGTTGCCCCTGAGGGAGACCCGGATGCACCAGACATCCCGACCCCACGCTCTTACGCAGAGGTGATGGCCGGTCCCTACTCCTCTCAGTGGCAGTCAGCCATGGATACAGAGATGGCTTCCTGGAAGTCCACAGGCACCTACGTCGACGAGGTTCCCCCACCTGGGGCGAACATCGTCAGTGGCATGTGGATTTTTAGGGTGAAGCGGCCGCCGGGCTCTCCGCCTGTCTTCAAGGCGCGTTACGTTGCACGAGGCTTCAGTCAACGAGAGGGAGTTGACTTCTTCCAGACCTTCTCCCCGACCCCGAAGATGACCACTCTTCGGGTTCTGCTGCACGTCGCCGCTCAGCGTGACTACGAGCTCCACTCGCTTGACTTCAGCACTGCTTTCCTACAGGGCAGCCGGCACGAGGAGATCTGGCTGCGCCGTCCACCTGGCTTCACTGGGGCGTTCCCTCCTGGTACCTAGTGGAGCCTCCGACGGCCAGTCTACGGTCTCCGCCAGGCGCCTCGTGAGTGGCACGACACACTGAGGACTACGCTTGCGGCTCTTGGGTTCGCGCCTTCTACTGCTGACCCGTTGCTGTTTCTACGCACCGACACCTCACTGCCGCCGTTCTACGTCCTTGTGTACGTCGACGACTTGGTCTTTGCTACTGCTGACACTGTGGCACTCGCCCACGTGAAGTCGGAGCTGCAGAAGAGACACACGTGCACAGACCTGGGTGAACTGACAAGCTATCTTGGCTTGCGGATCACCCGGGACAGAGCACGCCCCACCATCACCTTGACTCAGTCACACATGGTGCAGCAGGTCCTTCAGCGCTTCCGCTTCACGTACTCCTCGCCTCAGCCCACTCCTCTGGCTACCGGTCACTCGCTCTCAGCTCTGCCTTCGGATGAGTCCGTAGAGCCGAGTGGCCCGTATCCAGAGCTTGTGGGTTGCCTCATGTACCTGATGACCTGCACTCGACCAGACCTTGCATACCCTCTCAGCATTCTTGCACGCTATGTCGCTCCCGGCCGTCACCGGAAGGAGCACATGGATGCAGCTAAGAGGGTGTTGCGCTACTTGTGCAGTTTGTCGGGCATGGGGCTAGTGCTTGGAGGGCGAGTCCCAGTTGTTCTCACTGGGCACTCAGACGCTTCTTGGGCAGACGACCAGGCTACTCAGCGGTCGTCTCAGGGTTACTCCTTCAGTCTTGGCTCTGGTTCAGTTTCTTGGCGTTCTACTCGCTCTTCTTCTGTTCTCAGCTCCAGTTGTGAGGCTGAGATCTACGCCACAGCCATGGCGGCCCAGGAGCTACGCTGGCTCACCTACTTGCTGACCGACCTTGGAGAGCAGCCTCGTTCTCCTCCAGTGCTCTACGTCGACAACAAGGCAGCCATCGCCTTGTGTGAGGAGCACAGACTGGAGCACAGAACGAAGCACATTGCTCTGCGTTACTTCCTTGCTCGAGAGCTGCAGCAGCATGGTCAGCTTCGCCTGCGTTACGTGGCCTCTGAGGCCAACACTGCTGATGTGTTCACCAAGGCGCTTCAGCCTTGTGACCATCAGCGCTTTTGCACTCTTCTAGGCCTTGTGCCTACTGGACCTCACTTGCTTACTTCTTGAGTCTGTTTGTACTGTGATCTCTATATATATACCTGCATGTTTACTCTTGTTAGGTTGTGATCATTGTACCTTTTGCTCTATTATAAACCTGCATGTGAACTGGTCTTGTGACCACTTGCTTGTGCTCGGAATTTGTGTGGTATCCTTGAGATCCAGCCTGAGCTTGTTTTGCCTTGATTTGCCTTGACTAGTCTTGTGACCCCTAGTTCTCCCCCACTTTGCCTATGGGGGTGTGTCAAACATTATATATGTTGTGTTAGTTTAGGCTACAGTGGGTTAGCCTATAGGGGGTACACAATTCTAGGGTTAGGTACTTGTACTCATTTCACTACTAGTTCATTCATTCATGTTCAGTGATTCCAACAAGCTCAACCTCTGGCCCCGTATCTCCTTGCCGGAGACCTCCCCAACACTGCGTTGGACGTGAGAGGTTGGCGATGCGTCGCGTTTTCGGGTCTAGGGATCCAGAGCTTTTGTTCGCGATACGTGCGCGGACAAGCTCTCCTCCCACGCTGTCTCGTGTGTCTTCCTAGGCTTTGTTCCGGACGCGTTTGGTTGGCAGTTTTACCACCCCACCTCGCGCCGTGTCCTCGCCTCTCAGGACGTCACCTTTGACGTGTCGGTACCCTTCTACCGCCTCTTCCCCTACCGCACTGCCCCGCTCCCTCCCCCGCCTCTCTTCCTCGCGCCAGGTGCTGCTGAAGTAGACCCCCTCCCCCCTCAGGGTGCCGCTCCCTCAGGTGTGTCCCAGGTAGACCCGGTTGAGCCTGTCGAGGTAGCTGTCGACTCTCCTCCTGCTCGGGGTGCTGAGCCTGAGCGTGCGGAGCCTGGGGTTGCAGAGACTGGGGGTGCTGAGCCTGGGGGTGCAGAGTCTGGGGGTACTGAGCCTTGGGGTGCGGAGTCTGGGGGTGCTGAGCCTGGGAGTACGGAGCCTGCTTGTGCTGAGTCTGGGGGTGCTGAGTCTGGGGGTGCTGAGTCTGGGGGTGCTGAGTCTGGGGGTGCTGAGCCTGGGAGTGCTACGCCTGAAGGAGCTCTCTCCTCACAGCAGCAGCGTGAGTGGTACTTACAGTACTGCAGCCTCAGGAGAGGTGCTTCTGGAGCTAGGGGTGCTGCTGGAGCTGGTGCTCGTGCTTCCTCGCCTAGGCGGGAGCTGCCCTCTCCCCAGCGTCTTCGTGAGTGGTACGCACGACGCTGCAGTCTCATGAGTGGCGCTCCTAGTGTCGCGGACCCTGCTACTGGTGCTGCGGACCCTGGAGTTGGAGCTGCTGCTGGTGCTACAGACCCGGGCGTTGGAGCTGCTGCTGGTGCTGCGGACCCTGGAGTTGGGGTTGCTACTGGTGCTGCGGACCCGGGCGTTAGAGCTGCTGCTGGTGCTGCGACCCGGGCGTTGGAGCTACTGCTGGTGCTGTGGACCCTAGAGTTGGGGTTGCTACTAGTGCTGCGGACCCTGGAGTTGGAGCTGCTACTGGTGCTGCGGACCCGGGCGTTGGAGCTGCTGCTGGTGCTGCAGACCCGGGCGTTGGAGGTGCTGGGGGTGCTACTGGAGCTGCTGGAGGTTCTGGTGCTGTCTCTGCTGCTGCAGGGGGCACCTCACGGCCGCGGTCGTACTTTGTTCCACTCCTTCAGCAGGTTCTTGGTCAGTCACCTCCGCCTTGTCCCCCTCCCTCTGTAGAGTGTCCACCGACGGTCCAGTCGCTGTCACAGCTACCGCCTGCCTCGCCACTTCCTCGTCCTTCTCCCTACACTGGTCCTACTAGCGGTCTCACAGAGCGTCATCAGCTTGAGTCTCGCCCTCTGTCGCCTGTGTCCCGTCCTGAGTCCCCTGTTCGTACTACTTCCACCAGTCGCCGTACTCCGCGTGAGCGTCCGCCACCAGACCCTGGCACACACCGTATGTCACTGCGTCCCTCCACTACTCCACAGCGTGTCCCTCTGCCGTCTCCTCCTGAGTCCTCTCTTCTTGCTCTTGCTGACCCTGAGTCTGACTCTCTTCGTGCTGCCTGTCCTACTGTAACGCGTCTCCTGGCCACAGGTGTCACTGACCCTTCCTTTGAGTATGCTGCTGCGTCTGCCCTAGTTGCTGAGCTTGTCGACTTTGCTGCTCGCTAACGTCTAGACTACGCTGCTAGTCTTGTCGCTGAGTCTGAGTCTGTCTGTCCTCCATCTGTCGGGGGTGCGTGTGCTCTTAGCACGGACGTCCTTGAGGACAAACAGGAGGATCTTGAGTGTCTTGCAGCCGCTGCGCCCCATCTCGTGTCCATGCTAGTTGCCCCTGAGGGAGACCCGGATGCACCAGACATCCCGACTCCTCGATCGTACGCTGAGGCGATCGAGGGTCCCTACTCCTCACAGTGGCAGTCAGCCATGGACGCAGAGATGGCTTCCTAGAAGTCCACAGGCACCTACGTCGACGAGGTTCACCCACCTGGGGCGAACATCGTTAGTGGCATGTGGATTTTCAGGGTGAAGCGGCCGCCGGGCTCTCCGCCTGTCTTCAAGGCTCGTTACGTTGCTCGAGGCTTCAGTCAGCGAGAGGGAGTAGACTTCTTCCAGACCTTCTCCCCCACCCCGAAGATGTCCACTCTTCGGGTACTACTGCACGTTGCTGCTCAGTGCGACTACGAGCTTCACTCTCTTGACTTCAGCACAGCTTTCTTGCAGGGCAGTCTGCACGAGGAGATCTTGCTGCGCCGCCCTCCTGGCTTCACTCGGTCGTTCCCTCCTGGTACCTAGTGGAGCCTCCGCCGGCCGGTCTACGGTCTCCGCCAGGCGCCACGTGAGTGGCACGACATCCTGAGGACTACTCTTGCGGCACTTGGGTTCTCTCCTTCTACTGCTGACCCGTCGCTGTTTCTACGCACCGACACTTCGCTGCCGTCGTTTTACATTCTCCTGTACGTCGACGACTTGGTCTTTGCCACAGCTAACACTGAGTCTCTCGCCCACGTGAAGTCGGAGCTGCAGAAGAGACACACGTGCACAGACCTGGGTGAACTGCGCAGCTACCTTGGCTTGCAGATCACCCGGGACAGAGCACGCCGCACCATTACCCTGACTCACTCACACATGGTGCACCAGGTCCTTCAGCGCTTCGGTTTCACCTGGTCCTCAGCACAGGCCACTCCTCTGGCTATAGGTCACTCGCTCTCAGCTCTGCCTTTGGATGAGTCCGTAGAGTCGAGTGGTCCTTACCCAGAGCTAGTTGGTTGCCTCATGTACCTGATGACTTGCACTCGTCCTGACCTAGCATACCCTCTTGGCCTTCTGGCTCGCTACGTGGCTCCTGGTCGTCACCGAAAGGTGCACTGGGATGCTGCAAAGAGGGTATTGCTCTACTTGTGCAGTACATCAGGCATGGGGCTTGTGCTTGGAGGAGGGAGCTCAGTTGTTCTCACTGGGCACTCAGACGCTTCTTGGGTTGAGGACCAGGCTACTCAGCTGTCGTCATAGGGTTACACCTTCAGCCTTGGCTCTGGTTCAGTTTCGTGGCGCTCTGCTCGTTCGTCTTCGGTTCTCAGCTCCAGTTGTGAGGCTGAGATCTACGCCACAGCCATGGCTGCATAGGAGTTACGCTGGCTCACCTACCTGTTGACCGACCTTGGAGAGCGGCCTAGTTCTCCTCCAGTGCTGTACGTCGACAACAAGGCTGCCATTGCCTTGTATGAGGAGCACAGGCTGGAGCACAAAACAAAGCACATCGCTCTCCGTTACTTCCTTGCTTGTGAGCTGCAGCAGCGTGGTCAGCTTCGTCTGCGCTACGTGGCCTCTCAGGCCAACACCGCTGATATTTTCACCAAGGCACTTCAGCCTGGTGATCATCAGCGCTTCTGTACTTTGTTGGGGCTAGTGCCCACTTTGCTTCACTTGTTGTAGGCTTTGCCTGTACTGTGATCTCTATATATACTCCTGCCTGTTGGCACTGCTAGGTTGAGATCACCCTTGCTGTTTGTACTACTTATATATACTTCTGCATGTGAACTGGCCTTGTGGCCCTTTGCTTGTGCTCGGAGTGTGTGGTGACGTTGTGATCCACCCTGAGCTTGCTTGCCTTTCTTGACTGGTCTTGTGACCCCTTGTTCTCCCCCACTTTGCCTATGGGGGTGTGTCAAACACTGTATGTGTTATTATTGTGTAGGCTATAGTGGGTTAGCCTTTACGGGGTACACAAAGTTAGGGTTTCCTACTTGTACTCCAACTTTCATAGTGCAATCACTTCTTCTTCATAACACGTCAGCTCCAGTTTTCAAATTCAAGCATCCATTCTTGCTAACACGTCACTAGTCCAAGACCCTACACACCGCCATTGATCAAACAAGATCAACTACGCTGTATTAGTCGCTACGCAACACTCGGAGCCTCATTCCTGACACATGGGCCGTCTTCAACAACCATCTTCTCCACCACGGATGCCAGCACAACAATCATTTTAAACCATGGCTTCCCACTCCACCAACACATGACCGGCACAAGGAGGGAGGGACTTGCATAACCACGTCGACATAGAACGCAACAACCGACATAATAATTGATGCCAGTGGACGTCGCCATCAACCAGCTCCACGATCCACAGTCTGCCAAGGCACGCATATGTCTCAGAAGACCCAATTAAAATGAAGCACGTTGCCTTAAAATGAAGCACATTGCCTTGCAAGAACCAAAAAGCAAGCTTTCTCAATATAAGATTGGTCAATAAACAGCGTCGTGACTTTGAATAATAGTTGACTTTTCCATCTTCACATAATAGATTCCTCTGAGTGTATTGCAATTGTGCTGGGTACGAATCCTATACATGAGGTTATTGCGCTACTGTTATACTTACCGTAACTTTCTGATTAACTCAAACACTACAACAGTTACAGAATTATATTTTATGCCATACTAATCTAGCTGTCTCATATTATTTTATAGCCTGTTCTCCCGCTACAAACGGGTCTACGTTTCAGATTCTTTACGAAGTTGCACGTGGCACGTTGAGAATGGCTGCTTGGAGTTGTGTCAGAAGGTGTTTCCCAAATCGCTCAGAGCTTCCATCGAAATTTCACCCGAGGCGAGATCCGAGCGATGTTGAAACTGCTGTGTGGTTGGGAAGGCAGGCTGGCTATCACTCTCCTGCTTCAAGGCTTCGTCGGCGTTCTACTCTTCACGAAGAGCAGAGCATTAGTACTGCGACCGAGCGTTATAGCGTCGTTTGTTTGTAATTGTATCTTATACCGTGCACAGGAAGCTGGACGCAGTTATCGTAGTTGTGTTGGCAACATGGATTGCACGGATCCGAAAGAGGTAGCGTCACGCCTCGGGAATATTGCGTTCGGCAACGTTATCGCAGCAGCAGCACGCGATCTAAAAAAAGTAGGTAGCGCGTGCCGGTTTTCCGCTTTCAACCTCAAAGGGTTAATGCTCAGCGAGTTAGCTTCCTTTTGTTTCCTTTTTGTAGGCCGAAAGGAACGCACGCTCAGCATCGGTGTGTTCTTTTATTCTACTGTCCTTTACGCATTCAGGAAAAGGAGTTGTCTCAGAAGAATGCTTCCGCAACTGTAGAGGATGATTTCGATCTCGACGACCTTGCGGATGTAAGCAGAATGCAGCTCCTATTGTTTTGACCATGCCGAACTCACACGATGGAGAACTCCTTGTATTACGAACGTTTCTCCAACATTTCATTTTTGTTCCTTATTTCTAATCTGCGGCAGGACCCTGAGCTTGAAAAACTACACGCTGAACGGCTACAATCCTTGATGGTAAAGCTAATGCCACATCCACGTTTTCCGTCCATTGTTGACTGCCAAGTGTACAGCGAGTTCTAAGTCAGAGTGTTGGTTTAGACTTGACCTTATCCCTTGTTGCGTTCACATCGTCTTTGGCTCAGGCCGAGACCAAGAAGCGCGAAAACCTAAGAAAGAAGGGACACGGGGAGTACCGGGAGGTGAGAATGCTGAAACGTGCATTAGCAGATTCGGGTAGTAAGAGTACTGACGTAAATCTGGTAACGTTTCGAATTTCCCTTCCAGATCACGGAGGAAGAGTTTCTACAAGAGGTTAAGTCAAGCGAACTCGTCCTATGCCACTTTTATCACGCCGAGTTCCCTCGTTGCAAGTATGTGTTCACACCCTCGCGCATTTGCTTCGTTACACATTCTCCTCGCAACTGAACGTCGTTGCTGTGCACCTTTTCAGGATCGTTGATAAGCATCTGGCCATCCTGGCACCAAAACATTTGGAGGCCAAGTTTCTAAAGATTGACGCAGAGGTAAGTTGTACGATATGTTTTCATGCAAAAACTTTCCGCCCTTTCTGGGGCGCACAATAGTGCTGGAATTTCCTTATCAACATTAAATCCCTGTTGTACTCTTTCACCCTTCGTCGTGGCCATCTCTCTCTCCACTATTATGGTTAGCTCCCCACCTGCTTCCGCATCTCCCCTGTTTCAGGACCCTTTATCCTCCATCATGTCCTGTATCTCCCCTTTTGTTTTCATGTGTGCAACAGAAATGCCCTTTTTTTGTGTCCAGATTAAATATCAAAGTCCTACCATGCATGATTCTATTCAGGTTCGTGCATCCATGTCCAACGTGTTAATGCAGGAGGGATGGGAGATAGTGTCATGTAGGGGGGGATGTGGAAAGCATTGACTAACGGTTACAACACTATGAGATCGAGCTCAGCTAGTATTTGCTTGTTCTTCACATGCAGGGATGCCGTTGCTTTTCATAGAATAGTAGGGTTCGAGGCCTTCAGGAATCGTGACAACTTCTCAACTTCGGAGCTGGAGAACTATCTGATTAAGCAAGGTAAGAGCTCCCGATGTGTGTGTGTGTGTGTGTGTGTGTGTGTGTGTGTGTGTGTGTGTGTGTGTGTGTGTGTGTGTGTGTGTGCGTGTGTGTGTGTGTGTGTGTGTGTATCTGTGTTGCATTTTTGTTCTCTAAGAGTTCTCTAACGAGTAAATCTCATGCTGTTTCAGAGTTCTTGGAGTTAAGGGAAGACGAGGATGCTGAAGAAGAGGATGAAAATAAGGGAAGAAGTATACGAGCATCTGCTCTTTCAAGTGGCTATGAGTAGCCTCGTGTATTGGTTCCTTGACATATCTAACTGCAAAACTTAGTGAAGGTCAGCTCTGTTGATATTTTATGTACCGGAAGCTAGTAACGGAGCCAATACAGTTGAAAACTGATTTGACCTGCTTCTTGGAAAGAAGCGCGCACCAGCTGGCGTCCAGCAAGATCGGGCACCCAGACTGTACGGTATCACTTGCCACAAGCAGGACAGACAAGCATCTGGAAGAGTGCTGCACTTCGTGAATTTTCGCCATGGGATACGCAATGCTTCTATGAATGGTTCAGGAATGCTCGCCAGCTTTCCGACAGCTCGTAACGTTCTAAATCAACGCTTTAGACTAGATTGACCATAGATTTGACATTTAAATCGCCTGTCTTCGCACATCTCGTTGACATAACCAACGGATGCTGCCTGGTGGAACTCCGTAGTGTAGATTCGATGTGGAGCTGGCTGGAGAGGACTGAGGCAGCAGCAATGCTTTGTGGCAATGCCTTGTGGGCAGGTCGTACATTTACGATGCTGGCTCAGGACGGTTTTCCACGGTGAAAAGCGGTTTCTGAGATCTACCGTTCACCGCAACAAATTTCATCACAGAACGTACGGTAGCCGTAGGACCAGATGACGTCCTCCCAACATAAGTCAAGGAGCTGGGCTCCTCCAAATGCTCGACTCGATGTCTTCGTTTTCAGAATGCCTATGTTCAAGCTTTTGTCCATTATATATAGAACGAGTCAAGTTCCGTAGTGCCCATCCTGCCTTTCTGACTATAACTCCATTGACGCCTTGCTTGACAAACAACTCCTATTTCCGCCATCCTGCAGCTTCATATCCACGTCCCCCCAAATCTCCTAGGTCGACATTGTTACGGTAGTCATGCTGATTTTCGTTATTTTCTAAAGCACCGGTTTTTTAATATTTAGGCTCGAGGAGCCAAACTTTTGCGAGAATGAGCTGGAAGTGGTCGCAGGAGCTGAGCCCGTGAGGCGACTTTTGAGTCGACTCAAAAGCACTGGTTTTTAATACTTAAGTGGTCCGAGGAGCGAGACGTTTGCGAGAATGAGCTGGAAGTGGTCGCAGGAACCAAGCCCGCGAGGCCAGCCCGAGCCGCTGGAGCACCAGCCGCTGCAATGGGTGCTCGAGGTGACTCCCCAGCTGGACGTCAGTCGCAGCACTCTCGCCGTCGCTCTCGCCGACGCGGAGAGCTTGAAAAAATCGCACGAGTTGTCGCACGGATCGTTGCGGGGGGGTTCGGAGTCGGGAGCCAGCGGAGCCGGCGCGGAACTTCCCGTGTTCATTCTCGTCGCCGTCATGCAGGACGCTACTGCACCTCCTTGTACGCGATAAGAAATCTCCTCGATATGCGTCCGCGAGAGGTTGAGCGCTACGAAAACAGTCTTCGTCAAGCTTTTTGTCCGTCGAATGTATCAGCCTCCTCTTCTTTTCCCTCGTCAGCGTCGACGCGCGACGTTGCTTGTGGCAAATTCGCAACTGATAAAATTGAAACGTCTTTCACACTGAACGGGTTGCACCGGCCCGCGGACCGGCCGTGTTCACCTAATATGTTCTTTACCGACAGGTTGAGGAGGTAGGGCAAGGTCAGATGCGCGTGACGTTATTCACATGGCATTGCGCGTGTGACATCGTGCGCGTGGCATTGCGCGCTTGTGCGCGCAACATGAAGCGTGTGACATTGTGCGCGTAGGGCACTCTCGGATTAAGCACTTCACCATTGCGAAACATCAGCAAATGCGTGCGTACTCATCTCATCCTGATGATCCATGCATCCATGCATGCATCCATGCGTGTCTCTCTCCTCTCATCTGCCATGACCATGGACGAGGCAGTGTGGCTAGTGGAGGCAGAGGAACCGCCGTCCGACGCCCCTGAGAAGCAGCAGCTGGGTGCACGTGCACAACCGTGCGTGTATGCACTCACCCCCATGTCTGTTCTTCTCTCCCTTTCTCCCTCTCTCTCCCTCTCTCTCCCAGCGCCCATGGTGCGGCGAACCATGACAATGGACGAGGCAGTGCGCCTGGCAGAGGCAAAAGAGGCGCCTCTCGATGCTCATGCCTCGCTCTCCTTCCCCCACAGCTCCTCTCCCTCCCCCCCGCGTCCTCTCCTTTTCAGCCCCCATGGTACGACGAACCATGACAATGGACGAGGCAGTGCGCCTGGCAGAAGCAGAGGAGGCTGTCATTCGCAAGATGCTGCAGCCACTCAAGACCCTTGCACACAGCCGCCAGGTGAGACGCTCGTGACGCCGGCTGTCTGCTTGGTTGATAGTTCTGAGCGGCCTCGGAACTGGCAGAGGAGGTCGTCATTCGCAAGATGCTGCAGCCGCTCAAGGCCCTCGCACACAGCCGCCAGGTGAGTCGATCATAACACCCGCCGGCTGCTTGAATGATGGTTTTGACAGGTCTCAAAACTCGCAGAGGAGGCTGTCATTCGCAAGATGCTGCAGCCACTCAAGGCCCTCGCACACAGCCGCCAGGTGAGACGCCGCCAGGTGAGACGCTCGCGGAGCCTTACAGCCGCCAGGTGAGACTCCTTCAGTCATAACACCCTTCTTACCCCTTTTGCCGCGAGGTGTGTGCAGTGATGCATCTGGGGCGCAGCAGCAGCAGCGGCCTGCTTTGAAAAGCCCTGTGGTGGTTGGTCGGTGTTTGGTCCTCGTTTGTCGTATCCTCCTTTATTCACCCCCAACCCCTTCCCCCCCCCCACCTCCCCCCCCCCCCACCTTCCCCTCCCCCACCTTCCCCCCCCCCCACCTCCCCCCCCCCTCTCCCTTCCTTCTCCCCTTCTTCCCTGCCCCCAGGTGCGAGCAGTGATGCATCTGGAGTGCAGCAGCGACCATGAGAAGGCCCTGTGTGTGGCCAGTCATAACACTCCTCCTGCTCCCCTTGCTCCCCCCCCACGCCCCCCTGCCTCCAGGTGCGAGCAGTGATGCATCTGGAGCGCAGCAGCGACCATGAGAAGGCCCTGTGTGACGCAGTCAAGCGGTTCTCCGCCTCCAGGGTCTACATCGGGGTCAGAAAGTGAGTCAGACAACAGAACACAGTCCCTTTTCAAGGCCCTGTGTGCTAAGCCCCTCCGCAACACCCAAGAATACATATATTGCGAGTCGATACTCGCTTGCGAATAATAATAATGATGATGATAATAATAATAATAATAATAATAGTAGTAATAATAATAAATCCATGAGTGCTTCTGCTCTTCTTCATGAGCAATGTGACTCTGAAGCGAAGGCCCTCAGCAACACAGAAGGATGCGATTTTCCAAGTCTCAACGACCTGGGACCCACAGCAGCACATGTCCCCTCTTCCCTCTCTCCTCTCCCCTCTCCCCTCTCCCCTTTGCTCCACCCTCCCCCTCTCAGGAAGTTCCTGTGGTCGAACTCCCTCAGCAGCGCGCCGACAGCCTACTACGAGACGAATCTCCCCGACGGCTGTGTGCTGGTGGTGGCGCAGGGGTCGCGGCGGGTGGCAGAGATCCCCGTGCATCCCAAAGGGCCCCTCCGCAGCCGCACCCTCAGCCGCTCCAAACGCTCCCAGGCTGGCTTTGATCCGCCGCTCACGCCCACAGGCACTGCACCTGGTGCTGGTGCTGGTGCTGCTGCTGGTGGTGGTGTGGTAGGGGGGGGTGGGAGGGGCAGGGGCAGGGGACGAGGTGTGGGCAGGGGTGTGGGCAGGGGAATGGAGAGGGGTGCAAGCAGGGGGTTTCCTCGCTCGGCATCGTCGAATGCTGCTTTGGAGGCGGGAAGCAGGGGTGGAGAGCGGTGGTCTGATGCTGGTAGCAGCGCTCGTGCTGGTGCTGGTGCTGGTGCTGGTGCTGGTGCTGGTGCTGGTGCTGGTACTGGCACTGTTGCTGGCGTGGGTGCTGTGATTGGTGGTGGTGTTGGGAGCAGCAGTGGTGGGCGGGGCGGGGTTGGCAGCAGAGGAGAGGGAGAGAGGAGGCGGGGGGAGAGAGAGGAGGTCCAGGCAGGAGAGCGAGAAAGCAGACCCCTGGCGGGCAGACTCAGGGTGATTGTGCCGTCTACTAGAGAGGTGGACGGATGGGGGGTACAAATTCAGGGAGAGCAGACTCAGGTGGAGCAGCGACAGGGGGAGCAGCGACAGGGGGGGCAGCGACAGGGGGAGGAGAGTCAGGGGGGACTAGGGCTGGAGGCTGGGTCGGGGGATGAGGATGATGATGCACTGGCAGAGCTAGGAGAAGAATGGATCAGAAGCAGGAGGAGAGAGGCGCCAACGTCAGGTAGAACGCCAGGTGCTGCATCAGGTGCTGCATCCGATGCTGCATCAGGTGCGGCATCAGGAGCAGTGGATTCAAAGCGAGCAGGGCGCCATCAGCGGAGCCACTCCATGCACCTGCTGTCACCGCACCCCACAGCTCTCTTCTCCCCCTCACTCCCTCCCTCTCACCCCCGCCGCCTGTCCATATCAGACGCCCTAGAAGCAGAGGGCAGTGTGGGCCAAAAACGGGGCCCGGGGCGAGAGAGGAAGGTTAAACTGGAGGTCGAGGAGGTGGATGAGGAGGAGGAGGAGGAAGAGGAGGAGGAGGAGGAGGAGGAGGGAGTGATGGGACCCCATGGTGGTAGGAGGAACCTTCCCAGTGAATACCATGACCATGCCAGCCAGTTCGGCCCGTTGAGTGTGCGCGGCAACCCCACCACCCCACGCCTCTTCTCCCCAGATGACTGGACATTCCCTCTAAATGATGATGCTTCTGATGCCTCTGGTGCTTCTGGTGCCTCTGGTGCTACTTGGCCGTCCAGTGCTGCTGGTGCATCTGGTACATCAGCCCCCACGACTCCCAAGGGAGCGAGCAGAAACCCCAAGGGCGAGGGCATGGCAGGGAGAGGCACAGGGAGAGCCGTTGGGATGGTAGAATCTGGAGGGATTGCGAGGCATGATAGTGGGAGTGGGCGTGGGCGTGGGAGTGGGAACCGGGATGGGAGTGGGAATGCTGGTGGGGAGAAGAAGGAGGAAAGGCCAGGAGTACGCATAGGAGCAGGTGCAGGAGCAGGTGCAGGAGCAGGTGCAGGAGCAGGAGCAGGTGCAGGTGCAGGTGCAGGTGCAGGTGCAGCTGCAGGTGCAGGAGCAGCGACAGGCACCGGCACAGGAGCAGGGGGGAGCGGGCAGGAGGCCAGGCGGGGGGCTTGGCGCAGCCGGTTTCGCAGTGCGAGTGTGAGCGAGGTGCCTCTCTCGCCCTCCCAGCTGCTCTCCCCCTCTGGCCTGCTCTCCCCCGAGCGCCCCTTCTCTGCTATCTCCGCCTGGGATGCCCTTCCTGTGCGCATCGGGGGCAGTGCTGTGGAGACAGGGGGGAGGGTGATGGAGGGCGAGGTGCTAAAGTCGCCGCGCATGGGGGGCAGTGCTGTGGAGACAGGGGGGAGGGTGATGGTTGAGTCGATGCACAAGTCGGCTCGTGTAGGGGGCAGTGGCGCTGGTGCTGGTGGTGATGGTGCTGCTGGTGCTGGTACTGCTGGTGCTGGTGCTGCTGGTGCTGGTGCTGCTGCTGCTGCTGCTGCTGCTGCTGCTGCTGCTGCTGCTGGTACTCACGGGGATGCTGACGAGGATGAGGATGAGGATGACGTGTTTGAACAGCTGATGCGGCGCCAGCTGGACACAGTGTGCAGCAAGAACGACACCAACAGTAAAAGCAACAGCATGGTCAGCGGCAGCAGCAGCAACAGTCATGTCCGCACTGCATCAGCCTCTGGCTCCTCCAACCGGGATGTGCTGCCCGCGCACATGGGGACCATTGCTGCGGAGACAGGGGGGAGGCAGGTGGGAGGGAGTGGGGATGGGTGGGGGACTGGGAGCAATGTGTCGTCTGCTGCTGCTTCTGCTGGTGATGCTGACGAGGATGAGGATGAAGATGACGTGTTTGAACTGCTGATGCAACGGCAGCTGGATGCAGTGAGTAGCAACAGCAAAGTCAACGGCAGCAGCAGCAACATCAACAGCAGCAGCAACAGCAACAGCAACAGCAGCAGCCATGCCCGCAATGCATCAACCACTTCCTCCTCCTCTCCTGCTCCTCCTCTTCCCCCTCCTTTGGCCACTGCTGTTGCAGCAGGATGGCAGGTGCAGCTGCTGCACAATCACAGTGGCAGTATGCATGGTGATGGTGATAAAATCAACAGTGCTATAATAAACGGTCATAATGCTACCCCCGGCAGCAGCAGTGCTCACCTGTCTCACCAGATCTTCAACACCACACCTGCAGCCTCGGCAGCCACAGCCTCGGTGGCAGCCACAGGTTCGGGTGGATCCCCTAAGCTTCGGATGCTCACCACTAAAGGATCTGGCTCAGGTTCAGGTTCAGGTTCAGGTTCAGGTTCAGGTTCCCGCCTGGCCTCAGGGCTAGGGCTGGGCAGAGCAGCAGCTAGAATGCTCTTTCCCAAGTCTTCCAGTGGCGGCAGCCGCACGGGGCAAGAGGACACCACTCCCCAAAGCCCCCTGGCGTCCCCTCCCCCGTCGGATCCTGAGGGTGATGAGTATCAACGGACACGATCGCTCGGCACGTATGATTTTGTAAGGTATAAGCAGAGCAGGAGCGCGAGCAGGAGGAGCAGCAGGGACTATGGGGAAAGCAGTGGCAGTGGAGGCAGTCCCTCTCAGAAATCTGCGAGCCTCCTTTCTCATTCGTCCTCCGATCTCCCCTTGCAACAATCTGTGCCATCAGTTCAGCAATCTGTTTCAGAGAGGCCTAAAAAGTCGTCCCATCAGCAGCCTCTGCTGCTGGATGGATCAGCGAAAGCGGCAGTCGCAAGCCAATCTGCCAGGCACCCCGTCCCTCCTCGCTCTCCCTCTCGCCGCACCCCTCCTCCGCTCGTCCCCTCTACTGCTTCTGCTGCTGCTAACACGTCTCCACCCCGCTCTGCTCGAAGAAATGCTGCTGTTCCCGCCTTCCCTCGATCTGCTAGTGCGGGCAGCAGCAGCAGCAACAGGGAGAGCGGCAGAAGCCGAAGCAACGCAGGCAGCAATTTCATCAATTACAGCAACAGCTACAGCAACAGCAGTGGCAGCAGGATTGAAGGATCAGAGCATGCTGCTGCTGCTGCTGCTATCGGTACTGGTGGAGTGGGGAGAGGGGCGAAAGAGGTGATGGAGCCAGGGGAAGAAGATAGAGGAGGAGCTTTACCAGTGGCAGCAGAAGCAGGTGTGACGATGCTGCGAACCAAATCCGGAGAGATTTTAGGCCGCAACCAGCAGCAGCAGCAGCAGCAGCCGCAGCCGCAGAGGAGGGCTTTGGGGAGGTTTCCTGTGTGCCGCATGGAGCAGCGGCAGCAACAGGTGAAGCTGGCTTGGGATGACATTCTGGGGGACGGGCCTGATGCAGGACAGGCGCCAGCAGGGAGAGGTTCGCTTGTCCGCAAAGCGGTGAAGGCAGCAGGAGCCGCAGGAGCAGCAAAAGCAAGAGACGCAGCGGGAGCAGCAAGAGCAACACGAGCAGCAGGAGCAGAGAAAGGCAGAGGTGGGGAGACGGAGCACACAGCATGGGCAAACGGCGCAGCAGCAGAGGAGTTTGATTTCGGTGTGCCAGCAGAGACGGCAGGTGAGGTTGAAAGGCGCGAGTCTGTGGACCTGGCTATGGGTGGCAAGCCAATGCCCAGGGGTGGTGGCAGTGGCGGTGATAGCGGTGGTGGTGGTGGTGGTGGTGGTGGTGGTTCAAGGCTCAATCAGGGCAGCAACAATGGCACCATGCTGAGCTCAGGTACAGATGATGCAGCACGGGCAGCAGCAGCAGCAGCAGCAGCAGCAGCAGCAGGAGCAGGAGAAGCAGGAGGAGAAGAAGCCCAAAGTCCCGAGGATCTATCAGCGTCCAGCATCCCTCACCACCTATCGTCTCTTGTTCCCTGTCGGGTGTTCACTCTGCAGCAGCTAGCAGCAGCAACTGACGGCTTCAATCCCTCTCGCCTGCTGGGCCGCAGCAGTGGGGGCAGCGCAGGGGGAAGTGTGTACCGAGGGGAGCTGCTGGGGCGCCCTGTGGCGATCAAGCGGCTGCAGGGCCCGGGAATTAGCCACAGGAGTCCGGGACCCTACTCCACGTCAGCTGCCACGTCAGCTGCCTCGTCAGCGGCCACGTCAGCAGAGGCTGAGGCGTTTTGGAGGGAGGTGGGGGTGCTGGCGAGTGTGCGGCACGCGCACGTGGTGGGCATGGTGGGGTGCTGCCCTGAGGACTTCTCCCTTGTGTATGAACTCATGGTGGGAGGGTCTCTCTGGGACCGCCTACACCCACAGCTGCAGCAGCAGCTGCAGCAGAAAAGGCAACAGAAACAGCAGCAGCAAGAGCATGAACAAGGGGCAGCCACCACCCCGCCTCCCTCCCCTCTCCCCGCTCCCCTCCCATGGCACCATCGCCTGTGCATCGCCTCTGAAATCGCCTCTGCGCTCCTCTTCCTACACTGCCACAGCCCCCCTATCCTCCACTCCGACCTCAAACCCCAAAACATCCTTCTCGACAGCCATGGCGCCAGCAAACTTGCTGATACAGGCCTGGCGGGGCTCAGTTTCTTCGGCTTGCTTCCGCAGAATCACCTCGAGGTCACGTTCAAGGTGCAGGGGACGTTTGGGTTTTTCGATCCGGATGTTGTGGTTACCACCGGGGAGGTTACGGCAGCGAGTGATGTGTATGCTCTGGGCGTGGTGCTGCTGCTGCTGCTCACCGGGATCGAAGATGTGAAAGAGGTGCACCGGTTGTTTGGTCAAGTGTCAAGCACAAATGCTACCACAATCACAAGTGCAAGCACAGGCTCACGCCCTACGTGCAATCTAGATATTGCCGTGCCTTTCTTTGCGGAGCGCCTTGACAAGCGGGCGGGCAGCTGGCCGAGAGATTTGGCTGCCCGGGCTCTGCGAGTGGCGCTGCAGTGTGTGGAACGGCGCGGCGTGGATCGGCCAGACCTGCAGACAGTGGTGCACCCGACCCTGGCTGCCATTGCTAAAGAGGTGCGGGAGGTGCAGGCGCGGGAGGTGCAGGCTCGGGAGGAGGTGAAAAAGGGGGAGGGACTGCGGGATCAGGAAGAAGAGGTGAAGCAGAGGCGGGAGGTGCAGGCAGGGCAGGAGTTGCAGCTAGAGAGTCGCTTCATCTGCCCTCTCTCCCATGTGAGTTGCCCTCCGCTGCTGTATCCCTCCCAACTTGATGCCCATCATCTCCCGTCAGTCCCATGGTGGTGAGGTACAATAGCGGCGTTTCTCAGACCGCGTGCTTTTAGCACCGGTTCCCTGTGCACACATTCCCTCCCTCCTGTTTTTTTCTGCTGTATCGCTCCCAGCCTGGTGCCCATGTCCATCATCTCCCGTCACTCTCATGGTGGTGATGTACGATGGCGGCGTTTCTTGCAGAACGTTTCAGGGAGTTTTTGAGAATTCTCAAAAACTGCCTGATGCCCATGCCCATCATCTCCTTTCACTCTCATGGTGGTGGTGTACGATAGCGACGTTTCTTGCAGAACATGCTCTTGGCACCGATTCCTGTGCACACATTCCTTCCCTCCTCCTGTCCCCTTGTTCTATATCGCTCCTCCCATCCCGTTCCCCCGTTCACATATTCCTCTGTTCCCCTCACCCCCGTTGCACCAGCAGCAGCAACGGCTGCACGATCCTGTGGTGTCATTCCCGTCGCTCTTTCCGTCCCTCCTCCCCCCCCCCTATTCTCCCTCGCCTTTGCACCAACAGCAACGGCTGCACGATCCTGTGGTGGCAGCAGGCGGGGTGACGTATGAGGCGGCAAGTGATAGAGGCGTGGTTCTCACCACATGTCATTCCCGTCGCTCTTTCCGTCCCTCCTCCCCCCCCCCTATTCTCCCCCGCCTTTGCACCAACAGCAACGGCTGCACGATCCTGTGGTGGCAGCAGGCAGGGTGACGTATGAGGTGGCAAGTGATAGAGGCGTGGTTCTCACCACATGTCATTCCCGTCGCTCTTTCTGTCCCTCCTCCCCCCCCCCCCTATTCTCCCCCGCCTTTGCAGCAACAGCAACGGCTGCACGATCCTGTGGTGGCAGCAGGCGGGGTGACGTATGAGGCGGCAAGTGATAGAGGCGTGGTTCTCACCACATGTCATTCCCGTCGCTCTTTCCGTCCTTCCTCCCCCCCCCTATTCTCCCTCGCCTTTGCACCAACAGCAACGGCTGCACGATCCTGTGGTGGCAGCAGGCGGGGTGACGTATGAGGCGGCAAGTGATAGAGGCGTGGTTCTCACCACATGTCATTCCCGTCGCTCTTTCCGTCCCTCCTTCCCCCCCCACTCTCCCTCGCCTTTGCACCAACAGCAACGGCTGCACGACCCTGTGGTGGCAGCAGATGGGGTGACGTACGAACGGCAGGCGATAGAGGCGTGGCTCGCAGCACATGACACCTCCCCCAGAACCCACCTCCCCCTCCCACACAAGCATCTCACCCCGAATCTCATCCTGCTGGAACTGCTTTCCACCCTGGGCCTTCTGAATGGATCATAAGGGGGTTAACGGACGGAAGGTGGCAGGGTTCGGAGGTGGGCGGAGGAGAAAAGGCAAGGGGGAGAGGAGAGGTGTTGGGGGGGAGAGGGTGGGGAGGGTGGTAAGCAAAGGGGGTGCAAGGTTGGAAGGGGCGAGGGGGGGTTTGTTGAAGGGGAAGTGGTGGGGGAAACAGGGCAGGTGGAAGGTGTCTGGGGAGGAGGGGAGGACTTGGCGTATTGTACCTTGCTTACTGTTATGACTAGGCGCAGGGCCTAGTATTGTGAATAGCTAGTTCACAGGCAAGCACTTTCATTTATGAAAGTTCCTGAAATACTGGATGTAGGATGTAGGAAAGTAAGATATTGTGGGTGTAAGTAGTGTATGATCATAAGATAACTCTTACCCCCTGAGTTCTGTAGCCAGTATTAGAGCAAATAATTTGGGGGGTACATCAGGAACATTTATTTGCACTAGACGGTGGGTGGAGATTATGCAGTTCCGAATTAAAAGGGGCCTAACACTTACAGTCACATGCTTTGGGGTACAGTAAGTAAATGATATACTACCTTTTTCCAAGCAAACAAAACGCGCTGCGTGACCGACTAGTGGATGCGGAAGTCGAACAGGGAGAAAGCCATCCTTCCAGCCAGATGCCACAGGTTGCGCGCTTCGCTTGTGTTTGTGTCGGGCGCAAAAGGGCGGGGAGGGGCGGGGCACGGTCATACTTCTCGCAACTTCGATGGAAGTTGGGTGTCTCGTTTGGTTTGTCAGCTTGCAACGGAAGTCCATCAGCCAGAAAGAATGCTGCTCCAGTCAGGGGCTCAAGGAGGTGCTGCTGCCCGGAACATTTACCCTCGTCCAATCTCGTTGGTGTAACTCAATCTTCCTCCAATCACCCCACGCGCCAACACCAACCCGCCTCCCTTCAGCAACGTAGCAAATCCAATCCATCTTACAGCCTTCACCACGCTGAGCCATACTGTATCTTCAAACATATACAGTTACCGTGCACAACCAGTAGTGTAATGTTTCGCGCCCCTTGTTCGCGATACTGCACCACACATTTGTTCTAGTTGTTCACGTTGGACGCATTGTCACAACTGTATTTGGCCAGACAGTTGGTCAGACCACCGTTTCATCAAAACGCTGTTTGGTCAGATCTCTTCGGGTAGTTAGCTTTGGCAGGGGTAATTGTAGCGACCCTGCGCTTTAAAGATTACTACAGTGCCAGCAGCGGGCAATTTCCACCCCTCCGTGCCTCAGACAGGGAAGTTATAGAAACAAGAAAGTACTCTTCCCCAAATTCACCCACGTGTCACCAAAATCCATGCCCCGTACTGTACTGGACATTTTGACCATCTGTACGCAACAGACGTTTGTCCCTTCTGCCAAATAGAAACCAATCTGACCGCGGGCAAAAAATATAAACCCCATTCGGATTGCATGCCATTAGGGTTGATGCCTCCCGAATTGCATGCCTTCCATGTGGGGTTTATTTGTTTTACTTGCCCGCTGACTCATTGCACTGCCTGCTGACGCAGGCCTCTCTTCCGAAATTTTGGGCGCGTAACAGTAGCCTATCAGATTTCGGAACAGTGTGGCAGCCGAGCCACCCAGAGTATTTTTTTTTTATGCAATGATACACTATAAAGAGCATACAGAGCATTGACAGTCGTAACTGTAGCCACCCAGAGTGTGGATTCGATTTGGAATTTGTGACACGTGGGTGAATTTGGGGAGAGTGCTGTCTTGTTTTCATAACTTCACTGTCTGATGCAGGGAGGGGTGGAAAGTGCCCTCTACTGGCACTGTAGTCCACTTCAAAGTGCAGGGTCGCTAGTAGGACCCCTGCCAAAGCTACTTACCTGATTTCTTCATCACCCACCAGAAACAAAATTCTGCATCCCTCTGGCGCTGCTCCCAGCGTGGCATACACTTTTTGTTTGGTCGATGCGATGGCCGCTTGTCTCTCAGACTTCCACGACTGTATGAACTAAGGACGCGTCTAGCTCCCGCTGATTTTGGTGATCGATCATGCAATTTGGATCAGCTACCGCACTTAAAACCTGTTTGTAGAGCTCAAAACAATCCAGAACGTTTTAAAAGCCATCAAATTCGATCCTGCGCAGGATCGATCGTGCCAATTTGATGGGAGTGACGCGTCCTAAAGGTAGTTGTTGCTGACTGCACCTTTTAGGTAGCTTCGCTGCTCATTATGATGATGATTAATGGCCAGCGAAACCTATACAAATGTTCTCGTTTATAGTCCGACGGACTGAGACGCTGCGCGCGGACTATGTGCGAAAACCTTCAAACCCCGGGCAAAACGCGATACTTATAGTCCCGTTCAGGAAAACTGCATGAACAGTGGTTTGTTTGCTAATAGTCTTTGGATTTGTCTTTTAAGTAGATTCAGTTCTCCGCGCTGATCAATGTTGCATGACAAACGGGCAAAGAAAAACAAAATCAATGATGGTTTGTGCGTCGAATATAAGGTAAAAACTTCTCGTTTACCTTGTAAGCGAGGTAAATGAGATGTCATTGTCGAGCGTGCTGGAGACCGCGCGACAGGATTGAGAATTAATCACGCTCAAGAGAAACAATTGCTTACAATTCCAAAGTTAGATATCGAATCAATGATCCCTTACTTCTCGTTCTCCCTGAATGTTGGGGCTGGTTCGATCTGGAGCCTCTGATTGGCTGCGGTGCTGATTTTTGCAATGATTCGGTCAAGCTGAAACAATTCCCGCCAAAAAAAGAACTATAGGGGTCGGCCAAACCCTAGGCGATATCGGAAAACTCTACACAAGGGGGAAACGTGACTCTTTCAGCGAGGGCCACTAACCCAGAACATTTGTATCCACCGCAGGTGGGTTCGGCCATGATAGAGCGGATTTGCGTGATTGTTTTCATCGGAGTCGACTAGTACTTGAAATTGGTCATTCTATCTGAGCCAGCTCAGGGAATCCAACTGTTGTTCCTTCCTTCCGCTTCCACTGCAAGACACTCATCGTGATTCTTTCGCCCTTTGGAAACGACTAGTGCGGAGAAAGTACCGTGTGACGTTTTAAGTCGCAATCGGCCCAGCTTAGACATGGTACCCGGCGATCAGCGTCGCACAGACGACGACGGCGATGAGGCTGCGACGCCGCTGTGGCTGCTGGAGGTGTCGCCGGACCATGAGAGCAGTCGCAGCACGCTTAGCGTCGCCCTAGCTGACGTGGACAGATTCCAGCGAGCCAATGACGGCGAGACACCTGTCATCGTGCTCGTCTCCGTCGTTATCGAGCCAGGATCCAAACGTGAGCGACCAGGACTTTCTCAAGCAAGCTGTAGGCTTTCTCACACCCTCACTTCATACTCACAGTCGCTGTGCTGTGCGTGCCTCCGTCGTTTGTACGAAACGGAACCTTCGCTGTCCGAGCGAAGTCATGCGACCGATGCGATTCCACCCGTGCGATGACAAAGACCTATGGCGCGTAGTGTCTTTTCGTTTTCTTTTGTTTAGATTTTTTTTCATCGCCTCCTCCAGCTCGGCGCGCTACCCATTCCCCTCGCTAGATCTTTCATTCAGTCGCCTCTTTTTCCCCCTTCCGCGATGCTCTCCCTTCCGCCATCTCTTACCGTTCCGCCATGGCCCTTCTTTCCTCCGACAGCCGCGACACCGCGCAAGGAGCGGGCGCGGCATGGCGCCACGGAGGATCTGATTCTGCGCAGCGTCGTGCGGCCGATGCAGGCCATCGCGGAGAACAGGAAGGTGAGCGTGCGTGAGTCGGAGAAAGGGTGGGTGGAGGGGGGGGGGGGGAGTGTGCGCGGGGGGGGGGGGGGGGGGGGGGTTCGGGAAGGGAAAGGGGAGAGGAAGGGGGGGGCGGGGTGGAGGGGGGAGGAAGGAAGAATCCGCTGATAGCAGAGAACAGGAAGGTGTGTGCGGAAAATATTCTGAAGGAGGGGGAAGAATGGTACGAAGAAGCGACGAAGGTCTGGCGACCATGGCAAGACAACGATTAAGGCGAGTTCGAAACGCTTGAGCGTGGGGTAATAGCTATTACCGCGTGGAAAATGCGTGACACAACCTGTTAAACCTTGGTGCTCGAATTCCCACGCTATCCTGTCCTTGCTGCTGGCGCGATAGAGCGTTCGTTCGTGGTGGTTGTTAGTGCCGACTTATGATGATTTGATTCGAAGCCTCATGTCAGGAAACACAAGAGGCCTTCGCTTATCTGATGCAGCTTATAAGAGGAATATAGGCCACGGAACTTTTGATACCGCCGATAAGCGGTGAGGCGAAATCGAGATTCAGTGATTCACTGATGGAGGTGCCGCGCTAACGGAAGTGGTTTGATCGATCCGAGGAAAGGCGGGAACCGAAATTCCCAAGGCCAGTCGGTCACGCATCGTGCTTTACGAGAGCGCGCGAAAACGAACTTCCAGAGGCCGGTGCGTGGCGGTAACTAATGCTTCCGAGCAGCTGAAAGAACGACCGATTTCAAAAACCCTAGAGAATGATAAATGATTCAGCTAATTGCAAAAGGCTTATCAATTCACATATCAATTCCAGAACTGTTTCGGGTGAATAACGAACAAAAAGAACGCTATGAGACTTCTTAAAAAACCATTGACCTCAATTTTCGTTGTACCTCCCCCTTCCCCACCTTCCCACCCCCCCTTCCTCCCCTCCCCCCCTTCCACACTCTCCCTCTTTCCTCCCTTGTTTTTCTCTGCAGTGAGAGCAGGCGGCCCTTAGAGTCGACTCTAACGCATCCCTCCGCCCTCCTCCCTCCCCCTCCCTCACCAGGTGTAGCAGAGGCACACATGGAACGCAGTAGAGCAGGCGACTCGTGAGTCCACTCAAGCACACCTCGAGTTCTCAACCCCTACTCCCCTCTCTCCCCCATCTCCCCCCACCAGGTGGCAGCGGAGGCACACATGGAGCGCAGTGAGAGCAGGGAAGCGGGCCTGTGTGCGGCTGTTGTACACCTGCAGGCACAGCGGCTGTACATCGGCGTGAAGAGGTGAGGTGGGGTGTATGTGAGGAGGTGAAGAGGTGAAGTTGAGGGGATACGTAGACCATGGGGGTTGGATCTGTGTGGCGCTGTGGCGCTGTGGCGCGCTTGCAGGCACAGCGGCTGCACTTTGGTGTCAAGAGGTGAGGGAGGGGATGTGAGGAGGCGAGGTGTTTGACGAGGTGAGGAGGTGAGGAGGTGAGGAGGCAACTTGTTTTCAGGCGTGTGAGAGGGGTCCGTGTCCCCCTTCTCTTGCCATTCCTCCCCTCGTCTTGAATGATCGTTACACTTCATGAGAAGCAAGTACGGAACAAGTAACCCTCTCTCCCTCCCCTACTCTCCCCTTCCCTTCCACCCTTTCTCTCCCCTACTCTCCCCCTTCCCTTCCACCCTTTCCCTCCCCTACTCTCCCCTTCCCTTCCACCCTTTCCCTCCCCTACTCTCCCCTTCCCTTCCACCCTTTCCCTCCCCTACTCTCCCCTTCCCTTCCACCCTTTCCCTCCCCTACTCTCCCCTTCCCTTCCACCCTTTCCCTCCCTACTCTCCCCTTCCCTCCACCCTACTCCCTTCCCTTCCACCTTCCCCCTACTCTCCCTTCCCTTCCACCCTCTCCCTCCCCTACTCCTCTCTCATCCACCCTCTCCCTCTCCCCTCCTGTGCTCCCTGATTTCTACGAATCGCCTCTCCTTCCAGGAAGCTTCTGTGGGGCGGGGATTCATCGGTGGTGCATTACTGTGAGGCCCATCTGCCACAGGGCTGCCTGCTCGTGCTCACACAGGGCGGTAAACGAGTCAAGGAGCTTATAGCGAGTACAACAAGCCACGCCACCAGCCAGGGAAGTGCTGCTGCTGCCAGAGGTGGCAGTGGCAGTGCTGCTGGTAATGCTGCTGCTGCTGCTGCCGGCAGTGGTGGTGGCCGTAGGAGGTCTCAGGATTCGCCCCAGCACGCACAGCAGCAGCAGCAGCAGCAGCAGCACCATGAGCAGCAGCAGAACGGAATTTTTTTACCAGGACTATGAGCAACAGTTGCAAGACGAGCATTTGGCAGACGAGGAGGAGGAGGAGGAGGGTGCAGCGGAGCTGAAGCGAAGCATCAGTGCGGGGAATGAGCTGAGGAACCGACGATATAGACCCGGCATGTACAGCAGCAGCGGTATCAGTGGCGGCGGCAGCGGTGGGAGAAGCGCGGAAAGAAGCCCGACAGAAGGAGCAAGGGGAGGGGGAGGGGGAGGGGGTGGGGGAGGGGGTGGTGGGGTGGTGGGTCTTGTGCGGGCGGGAAGCTATGGGCGGCATATAAGGAGTAGGAGCATAGGAGGCATGTTTCCCATCAGCGGCAGCACAGGCAGCCCAGGGAATAGCAGCGGCGGTGTTGCTGCTGGTGCTGGTGTTGCTGGTGGTGGGGGGAGTGGTGGGAGTGGCAGTGGTGGTGGTGGTAGTGGGGGTATGAGGCGTGTATTTCAGAGGAGAACACGCAAGCAGAGCAACAGCTTTTCCGAGTCTGAAGATGAAACCCCACTTGTCCGGACCAGCACCGGAGGCTCGGAGACGCACCGCTCACCCTACCACCTCAACATCCTAGGTCCGGGAAAGCGGGCAGTTTCGGTTTCAGGCTCGACAACCGGACCTGCCGAAGATCCAGATGATCCAATCCACGCCAGGGGTACCAAGCCTCCTCCCAGACCTCCCCGAGGCTCGGGACGAGGATCGGAAATGGAGGACGGGGAGTATGACGGGGAGGACGGGGAGCACACGCCTCCCCGGCCTGTCCTACGCTCCCGAACCTCCCCTTCCGGACGGTTATGGGGGGCAGGCGAGCTGGATGGAGCCACAGCAGCAACAGCAGCATCGGCAGCAGCAGGCAGAACCCCATCTTCTGGTGCTGGCAGTGCTGGTGGTGCTGGCAGTGGTGGTGGTGCTGGCAGTGCCAGTAACGCTGCCATTGGTGGCAGTGGTGGCAGCTACAGCGGCGGTATGCCTTCCCTCTGTGCTTCAACTGCCTCGTCTGCTCGCACCATGTCTCGCACTCTCAGCCGGGAACGCAGGCAGCAGGCAGCAGCGGGAGCGGCGGGAGCAGGAGGTCAGCTCACCTCAGCCGCTGCTGCCATCTCTAACACGGCATCCTCTCCTCTCCCTCCCCCCTCCCTCCCCTTCCACTTCTCCCCCAAGGTTCTGATCCCTTCTCCCTTTTCCTCTAATTCCGGTCTTCTTATCACGGAAGGTGATAATTATGGTGGTGATTATAACGATGAGCCAAGGCCTGGGACGCCCCGGGGAGAGACTGAGAAAGAGGCTCGGTTGCTGGGAGCGTCTAGGTTCGGCCCGAGCCAAGGGATGGAGGCTCGGCAAGGGGAGAGGGGTCGGCACAACAGGGGGATGTCTTGGGCTGGTCCTGAGTTAATGGGGGAAGGGAGTGGGGGGTTCAGATTTCACCTGGTGGGGGGGATGGCGGGGGTGTGGGTGCATGTGATGGTGTGGGTGGGGGGGCTGATGGTGGGGGTTATAATGGTGGGGGTTATAATGGTGGGCAGTGGCGCTACACTTCTCATCTTGCTTCCCCTACTTCCGCCGGCCTCCCTCCCATCCCATCACCCTCCTCTACCGCCACCTCGCGGCCCAACATTGCGGATCAAGTGGTGGCACTGGCAGGGCAGTGGGAGGTGCTTGCACAGATGGGGGGGGCGAGGCAGGGGGGAGAGGGGGCAGGGGGAGCAGCAGGGGGAGCAGCAGCGGGGGCAGGTACTGCTGGGGGAGGTGGGGCTGTTAGACCGGCTCAGGCGACTGATCTGTCCTCCCGCCCCCGGCGCACTGTGCCGAAACATTTCCGGGCAGGTAGCTGGGATCCGGGCAGGTTGGGCCTGAGTGAGGACTCGTTTTTGGAGAGTGTGAGAGGAGGGACAGCAGGGGCAGGGAAAGGGGCAGGCGGAAAAGGAGGAGGGGGAAGCGGAGGGGGAGGGGGAGGGGGAGGGGGAGGGGGGAGGTAGCAGGACTCCCCCCTTGCCTCCGGAAGGGACGGCAGCCGGAGGGAAAGGAGGAGGAAGCTTCCGAAAGGGAATGCTGCGAAGGAAGGGGAGCGGGCAGTGGGGGGAGGGCCTTGGCGGATGGATGGGCGGAGCGGGAGGTGGGGGAGGAGGAAGAAGAGGAGTCGATGGGGGATTCGGGGCGGAGAGAGCTAACGGGGATGATGGAGAAGAGGAGCAAGGCAACAGCATGGAAGGAGGGGCGCCCTTGCGCCGTGCTCTCTCCTCCACCTCCCCGGGCCTCTCCTCCTACCCCATGGATGCCCATGCAGGGTTCGCTTCGGGCTTGCTCACTGCTTTCCCCGCCACTGGCTCGCCGGACCTGCCAGGCTCGGCGCCCGGACGTCGCGGTGCTGGTGAGGCTCGGCACAGGCTGCCCAAGATGCCGTCCAGCAATGGCCGGCTCGGCGAGGAGGGCCGGCCGGGGCTGCTGGAGGTTGGGCGGGGAGGGCGGGGGGTTGGTTCGGGATTGGATCCTGGGGCAGGGTGCAGTAGGAGGGCAGGGAGGGGAGGGGGAGGCAGGGAGAGAGAGGGAGGAAACATCTGGAAGAGGGGGAGAAGGGGGAGGGAGGGGGAGGAGGAGGAGGAGGGGAAGCGGAAGAGGGGAGTGTGAGTGGGAGCAGCAGCAGGAGTGGGTTGGACATGGATATGCTGATGGGGGAGTTGCAGCAGCTGAGACAAGAGGCCCTTGCGAAGCAAGTAGCGGCCCAAGCTCAGTTCTGCAAGGTGCTGTGCGGTGCTGTGCTGTGCTCTCCCTCGCCATGCCATGGTGTATCGTCTCAAGTCAAGTGTGGCTTTCCATTTTTTTTTCTTGTCATCTCCACTCCTTTTTAGCTTGTTCCCCTCACATTTGTGCCTCTACCTACTCCTCTATCTCAAGTCACATTTGTGCCTCTACCTACTCCTCTATCTCAAGTCACATTTGTGCCTCTACCTACTCCTCTATCTCAAGTCACATTTGTGCCTCTACCTACTCCTCTATCTCAAGTCACATTTGTGCCTCTACCTACTCCTCTATCTCAAGTCACATTTGTGCCTCTACCTACTCCTCGCTCGCCCTCCTATTCTCCTTGCCCCCTCCACAAGTTTCAAGTGAACTCGCCTTCACATCTAAAACTTGAACCCTGTGTAGAGATGTGCCTCCACAAGTTTCAAGTGAACTCGCCTTCACATCTAAAACTTGAACCCTGTGTAGAGATGTGCCTCCACAAGTTTCAAGTGAACTCACTGGGGGCACGTCCCACTGGGGGCACGTCCCACTGGGGGCACGTCCCACTGGGGGCACGTCCCAGTTGAGAGATGTGAACTCAAGTTTCACAAGGTCTTGCTCCACATCTCTCGTTCTCCTGTTCTCTCAGCCAATTTTTTTGAGAATTCTCAAAAAAACATACGCTGTTTCACAAGGTCTTGCTCCACATCTCTCGTTCTTCTGTTTTCCACAAACCCTTACCCTCCACCCCCCCCCCCTCCCCCCCCCCTCTCTCTTTCTCCTCCCCGCAAACCCCACATCCCGACCCCAACAATCTCTTCGTTGATGCGGCCCAAGTTTTCTCGCTTTTCTCCAAATCCGCCATTCTACCAAATCCAGGGCGAAGATGCCAGCAACCCGCACTCCTCCAGCAGCTCCGACCTCTATCCCCGCAGCAGCAGCGCCAACGCTCCTCCCACTTCCAACCCCAGCCAGAGCAACAGCAAGAGCAGCAGCCGCACCTACAGCCGCAACGTCACGGCTTCGGCCAGCGCCGGCAGCGGCATCGGCGGCGGCAGCGGCAGCGGCAGTGGCAGCGGTGGCGGCAGTGGCGATCCGGGCAGCAGCATGCTACGAAGTGCACTGGCAGCTGAGGGCGACCTGAGTGACCTGAGCGATTTCACTGATTTCACTCATGTGCTGCCGGGTCTGCCTGGCGTCTCAGGCCGTGCTAGTGGCATGGGCATGGGGCGTGCTGCTGCTGCTGCTGTTGTGGTCAGATCTAGACGAGGGAGTGGGGGAGCTGGGTATGATGCAGAGGTCTGGGAGGATGGGGAGGAAGATGAAGAGGAGGGGGAGGAGAGGGACGATGGAGAAAGGGGCAGGAGTGGGCAGGCTCCTGGCCTACCGCTGCTGTGGGCAACCATGTAAGACGAACTCAAATTTCCAGCCCTTTTTAGAGACTTAACTATGTATCCCGGACCCCACTCCCGGACCCCACTCCCGGACCCCACTCCCGGACCCCACTCCCGGACCCCACTCCCGGACCCCACTCCCGGACCCCACTCCCGGACCCCACTCCCGGACCCCACTCCCGGACCCCACTCCCGGACCCCACTCCCGGACCCCACTCCCGGACCCCACTCCCGGACCCCACTTCCCGGACCCCACTCCCGGAACCCCACTCCGGACCCCACTCCCGGACCCCACTCCCCGGACCCCACTCCCGGACCCCACTCCCGGACCCCACTCCCGGACCCCACTCCCCGGGAAGGGAAGCGGCTCTTCCACCTCCTCCTCTGACCCCACCGAGTTTGTTCGCAAGGTCACTGAGCGCGCCCACCGTGTTTCCTCCCTTCCCCTCTTCCCACTCCCTCTTCTCCTCTCCAGCCCCCCTCTGATGCAGGTCTCGGTGGTGATGGTGCTGATGGTGATGACGTGGGAAGCTGCTCCTCCACCTCCTCCACCCTCCTCCTTTGACTCCTCCGAGTTCGTCCCTTCCCCCTTTACCCCCCCATCCCTCAATACATACACTCCAGCCCATAGCAGGAAGCATGGGAGACGGCAATGCAGACCCCAACGGCAACAATGGTGGAGAGGTGAGGACGCGGGAACCTGCTCTCCCACCCACCTCCTCCACCACGGGGTTCGTTCCCAAGGTCATGGAGCGCGCCCGCCTTAATGGCTTCCTCCATTCCCCATCCAACCCCACCTCCCTTCCCTCCCCTCCCCCCCCTCCCTTCCCTTCCTCCCCTCCCCTCCCCTCCCCTCCCTCCCTCCCCTCCCCTCCCGTCTCCTCCCCTCCCCTCCCCTCCCCTCCCCTTCCCTCCCCTCCTCCTCCCCTCCCCTCCCCTCCCCTCCCCTCCCCTCCCCTCCCCTCCCCTCCCCTCCCCTCCCCTCCCCCCATCCAACCTCACCGCCCTTCCAACCCCGTCCTCCCCCACAGCCTGTTGCAGACCCCAACGACGATGCAGGAAGCTGCTCCTCCACCTCTTCATTCGACTCCACGGAGTTTGTGCGCAAGTCACGGAGCGCGCCCGCCTCGCTGCCTCCGCCTCTGCCAACGCTGCCTCTGCTGCTGCCGCCGGTGCTTGCAGCGCAGTAGACGGGGTGAGTGGGGATTGAAGAGTGATATTGTGCGCATAGGCTGGGGCTGGGGTCATGGGGATGGGCATGGGCATGGGCATGGGCATGGGCATGGGCATGGGCATGGACATGACCGTTTACAAACGTTTCAACCACCACCTTTGTGGGATCATCATCATTGTCGTTTCAAATGCCGAATGCATCAATTCTTACCAGATTTCTAACCACCTGATAGATTTCTAACCACCTGATAGATTCTAACCACCTGATAGATTTCTAACCACCTGATAGATTTCTAACCACCTGATAGATTTCTAACCACCTGATAGATTTCTAACCACCTGATAGATTTCTAACCACCTGATAGATTTCTAACCACCTGATAGATTTCTAACCACCTGATAGATTTCTAACCACCTGATAGCATCCAACGTTTTCTATCGCCCTCTTTCATGTTTCCTTTTTCCCCATCCTATCCCTTCCTTCTTTCCCCTCCTCCCTCATTCATCCCCCACCCACCCACCTCCAATCACCCCTCCAGCACCACACACCCACAGACCTCTCCCCCAACATCACCTCCTCCTCCTCCCTCCATCCCCCTCCCAGCCACCACTCCTCCTCCCTCCACGCCCCTTCTCTCTCCGACTCTCTCGACCCCTCCGCCCACGCCTCCTCCTCCGCAGATTGCCGCCGCTTCTCCCTTCCCCAACTCCTCGAATGCACCGATGGCTTTTCCGACGGGAACCTTCTGGGAAGGGGTGCGTACGGTCCGGTATACCGAGGCCAGCTGTTCGGGTGCCTGGTGGCAATCAAGAAACTGGAACAGGGCAGCGACCAAGGTCCGGCGGAATTCCGAACCGAAGTGGAGGTTCTGAGCAAGGTTCGGCACCCACACATTGTGCTCTTAATGGGTCACTGCCCGGAAGAAGCTTGTATCGTGTACGAATTCCTCCAGGGCGGGAATCTCCAGGAGAGGATCGTCCGGGCGGGGGACAACCCTCCGCCGCCCCTCCCCTGGCACGATCGAATCAGAATCATATCGGAGATCTCCGGCGCGCTGCTCTACATGCACCGGCATGACCCGCCGATTCTCCACCGGGACTTAAAGCCCGACAACATTCTCCTAGACGCCAACTCCATCTCGAAAATCGCCGACGTGGGCCTCGCTCGGCTGATCCCCAACGAGGTCTCGGCAGTTACCTGGAAGGTGCGGGGCACAGCCGGGTACATCGACCCAGAGGAGCTTCAAACGGGAGAGCTGTCGGTGAAATCGGATATCTACGCGTTTGGTCTGATCGCGCTGCAGCTGCTGACAGGGCTGAAGAATGTGAAGCTGGTACACGGGCTGCTGGCGGCGTGCGGCACGGGCACGAGAAACACCGAGGAGGCGACAGATTTGATTGTGAAGAGCCTGGATCGGTCGGCTGGGAAGTGGCCGGAGAGGCTAGTGAGGCGGGCGACGAGGGTGCTGGTGCGGTGTATTGAGAGAAGGAGAGTGAATAGGCCGGATCTGGGAGGGGAGATTCACCCGCTGCTGGGGGAGATTGCAGAGGAGGCGATGGAGGAGAAGAACAGGCGGGCTAAGGAGCTTGACGGGCGGTTTGTGTGCCCTCTGTCTCATGTAGGTGTTGCTTTCTTGCTCTCCCCCTCTTTCTCGCTCTCTCCCTCTTTCTCGCTCTCTCCCTCTCGCTTCTCCTCTCTCCTCTTCTCGCTCTCTCCCTCTTTCTCGCTCTCTCCCTCTTTCACGCTCTCTTCACCCATGTAGACGCACTCTATCTCTCATACACAGCAGCTCGTGGCCAAGCCTCCATGTGACTTTTGAGAATTCTCAAAAGTCACACGAATATAGCTGCCTCCATGTGACTTTTGAGAATTCTCAAAAGTCCACGAATATAGCTGGCCTCCATGTGACTTTTGAGAATTCTCAAAGTCACTCGAATATAGCTGGCCTCCATGTGACTTTCGAGAATTCTCAAAAGTCACTCGAATAAAGCTGGCCTCCATGTGACTTTTGAGAATTCTCAAAAGTCACTCGAATAAAGCTGGCCCTCCATGTGGCCGCCTTGTGCTCCTGGCCTCTCACTCACCTGGCAGCTGCTGACATCACATGTGACGTTACTTGCTTTCCGCTTTCCTTGTGCTGTGATTATCACAGGAGAGGATGAGAGACCCAGTGGTAGCAGCGGATGGGCACACGTACGAGCGCGAGTCCATAGAGACATGGCCCTGCACCAGTGGGGGTCTCGCCTGTCACCGGACAGCCCCTGGCAGCACAAATAAAAGTACTTGTTTTTCTTCCTTCTTTTTGTGACTATTGCAGGAGAGGATGCGCGATCCGGTGGTAGCAGCGGACGGGCACACGTACGAGCGCGAGTACATTGAGACTTGGCTCGCCACCAGCGGGGTCTCGCCTGTCACCGGCCAACCCCTGCCCCACCGCGCCCTCACCCCCAACTTCATCCTCGCCTCGCTCATGGACTCCATGTGATGACATGGCGTGTCATGTGGTGTGGTATGGTATGGTGTGGTGTGGTGTGGTGTGGTGTCATGCCAGAGGTTGTCTGCTGCACACAAGGTACCCCATCTCACCCCCAACTTCATCCTCCGCCTCGCTCATGGACTCCATGTGATGCTATGGCATGTGGGGTGCTGTGGTGCCATGTGGTGTGATGTGGTGCCATGTGGTGTGATGTGGTGCCATGTGGTTTGATGTCGTGGCAAGTGGTATGGTATCTACTGACTACATGAGATGACACGTGTCATTGTTGGTGTATGTGCTGCCGCAAACAAGGTTCTGAACGCATTGACTCAGAAAAACCACCGAGGACGTGTGCGTGTTGCCCCACACAGGGCCCGCAGGGCTCTACTCCCCCAACCAGCAGCTGTTTCAGTTTCTCTTTACCACCATACAAGTTTCAACAATCCATGATGGTGCAATCAACCATTGTAGCCACGTCCTGATCAGATGTACCATAATCAATGGCTTGTCGGTAATTATGTGATTTGCCATGTTCTGGCTTGGTGCGGCTTGAATTGAACGAGTAAAACTGTTGATTTTTTCCTGTATTACCATAACGCGCACGACTGCTTGTTGCAACTCCCTGGACAACAGCTCGTTAGCCTGAATGTAACAATGCTCTTCCCAGGGGTCCGTGAATAACGTACCACAGGTTAAACAAAGAAACCATCTGAAACAATATACCTACCTCCCTCTCCTCTCTGTCCCCCCCACCCGGCATCTCCCCTTCACGGCACCATACCACCACCCACCTCAATCTCCTCACAAAAAAAGCCGGGAATCTTGACGAGGCACAGAGACTGACTATGGGACAAAGGATGAACAAATGGAGGGGTGACAGATGAGTATGAAAGGGGAGAGAGATGTTACACAGGAGGCGAGCAGGAGGGAAGGGTAAAAAGTTACTGGGTATGAGGGGAGACAGAAGTAGATTCATGCAGCAGACGTTAACACAGGAGGGCGAACAGGAGGTAACCAAGACGAGCAGGATGCACGATAGAGAAAGGGCCGGTGACAGTGGCACGGGAGAATGACACGGGAGGGAACAGCTCAAGTGAAGGGAGCAAGCAGCAGAGAGCAAGGTTTCGGGTATCGTTGGGAAAAAGAGATGAGGGTGACTGGCGGTTCGGGAAAAGAGGCCCGTTCCTTGACCGTTGGATCAAAGTGCGGAAATGGCGAAGAAAGAGAAGGGTGAGAGAAGGTTAGAACGCGCGTAACTCAATACCACACGATTAGCGAAGAATTCTGCTGGTACAGTAGAATTTGAACAAGGCAGTACTTTCCATCAATATAGGAGGCTGTCATCTCGTACGCGACATAAGATCCGCACACGCAGGTGCTCAGAAATGAATATGAAATTACATACGACTCAAGACGTCGTCCTAACTACTGTAGATTCGGCACGGAAGCGCGTGTCGTCAATGCCCAGATGGCTTGCTTCCGAGTTTCGACGCCATGCCGTCAACAAACAGTAGACGGCAAACGCCGACACGGCAATCCCTAAGCCTGGGAGGCCGTGTCGCAGCTGGTTCTTCAGCAGCGGGTGGTGCCTATACGCGTCATTGCGCCTGAAGAACTCGCCCGGTCCGCTCATCGTGCTGGATGAATTAGGCGGAGAGAACTAGAACAAGATACGTCTTTAGTTGCAAAGCGTAAATCCCTGCGAAAGTTGTTGCTGGAGAAGGTGTAGGATACCCTAACAGCTGCGACGACTTGCGACGTGTGCGAACTTGGCAGAATTTAGAACGAAGTTACAATTAATGGTATCCAACCTGACGAAGGTGTTGCTCTCTGCACAATCTCGCGGCTTTGGAGCTGGATTGTGGTAACAGGAAAGGATTTGTTTCGCACTGTGGGAGGCCTTCGCGAACACGGGGAATAGGGGTCGTAGGAGACAGGACAACATCAAGGCTTCTCTGTAGGAGAAACCTCTTAATAGTCCCAACGAATTATGAGACTTATGGCGGTGTTCGCCAGCAACTCAGAAAACGACAGCATTTGGCGGCAATGGCATGGTGACCGCATCCGGAACCGGGGTCGAAACCCGCCAAGAGGTCTGGGCGTAATGCGGTCCGCGAAACTTCAATCCCCAAAACAGGGAAATTTCACAACCGCATATGGAACCCCCAGCCCCACCTTCCTCATCTAGTGGCGCGAATTTAAAAAAAAAAAAAAAAAAAAAAAAAAAAAAAAAAAAAAAAAAAAACAAACAACAATCTCAAATACAACCCCCGATACCAGTCATGCGCGGGAGGCACTACGAAGGTGTGTTCGGGAGGGGATAAATGGGGGGGGGTTATTCGAACGGGCCTTTGTCAAACAAATGTCTTGTTCATAGGTTCCCTCTGAACAGATCAATGCGAACGGCTGTGCCATCGCTGTGCTTCGAAAAAACGCGGCATGGCGATGGCATGGCTTGGGGATAGAACTTTGCTTGGGGAACGAAGTTGCGTCCCCACTTCCATATGTCATCGAGCAGTTTCGTTGAGGTGGACAAATGGGGGCGTTCGCCACAACACCCACTTTGATTGTTGGTTTTGGACGGTTGGGGAGTCTTAGAATCTAGGCATCAATTATGTTGACTATCGAGAGAATTGGTACAAGGAGAAAACCCTAAGGGGTTATACCCCACAGTATCTACCCCACTACACCATACCCACAAATATAACATAATGCCATATCTTGACACAGCCCCATAGGCAAAAGTGGGGGAGAGCAAGAGGCTCACAAGACCAGTCAAGAAAAGCAAAGCAAGCTCAGGGTGGATCACAACGTCACCACACACACTGAGCATAGCAAAAGGCCACAAGGCCAATTCACATGCAGAGGTATATATACAACAAGAACAGTACAGTGATCTCTACTTAGGCAAGTGTAAGCATGCAGGTACATATATATAGATCAGAATACAAGCAGAGTCTAACAGCAAGTGTGGAAATGTAGGCACAAGGCCCAACAAAGTACAAAGTGCAGATGATCACTAGACGGAAAGGCCTTGGTGAATATATCAGCAGTGTTGGCCCCGACTGGCCACGTGAGCAAGATGAAGCTGACCCCGCTGCTTGCAACTCTCGGCCAAGAAGTAACGCAAGAGTGATTGTGCTTCGTTCTGTGCTCCATTTTGTGCTCGTGACACAGGCATCGCTGCCTTGTTGTCGACGTACAGAACTGGACGAGAAACGAGGTCTCTCTCCCCAAGTCGGTCAGCAGGTAGGTGAGCCAGCGTAACCCCTGTGCAGCCGTGGCTATGGCGTAGATCTCAGCCTCACAAACTGGAGCCAAGATCAGAAGACGAGTGAGTAGACCGCCAAGAAACAGAGCCAGAGCCAAGACTGAAGGTGTAACCCTATGACGACCGCTGCGTAGCCTGGTCGTCAACCCAAGAAGCGTCTAAGTGACCAGTGAGGACAACGTCGCCCCGTCCTCCAAGCACGAGCCCCATGCCTGATGTACTGCACAAGTAGCGCAGTACCCTCTTAGCAACATCCATGTGCACCTTTCGGTGCCGACCAGGAGCCACGTAGTGAGCCAGAAGGCCAAGAGGGTACGCAAGGTCAGGACGAGTGCAAGTCATCTGGTACATGAGGTAGCAAACTAGCTCTGGGTAAGGACCACTCGGCTCTACGGACTCGTCCTAAGGTGGAGCTGAGAGCGAATGACTTGTAGGCCAGAGGAGTGGCCTGTGCCGAGGACCATGTGAAGCGGAAGCGCTGAAGGACCTCCTGCTGCACCATGTGTGACTGAGTCAGTGTGATGGTGCGGCGTGCTCTGTCCCGGGTGATCTACAAGCCAAGGTAGCTGCGCAACTCACCCGGTCTGTGCATGTGTGTCTCTTCTGCAGCTCCGACTTCACCAAGCCGAGAGCCTTAGTGTCAGCAGTGGCAAAGACCAAGTCGTCGACGTACATGATGATGTAGAACGGGGGCAGCGAAGTGTCTGTGCGCAGAAACAGCGACGGTCAGCAGTCGAAGGAGCAAACCCAAGAGCTGCAAGTGTCGTCCTCAGTGTGTCGTGCTACTTACATGGCGCCTGGTGGAGACTGTAGACCGGCCCCGGAGACTCCACTGGGTACCAGGAGGGAACGACCCAGTGAAGCCAGGCGGCCGGCGCAGCCAGATCTCCTCGTGCACAGCTGCCCTGTAGGAAAGTTTTGCTGAGTCAAGAGAAGTGAAGCTCGTAGTCACGCTGAGCGGCAACATGCAGTAGTACCCGAAGGTGTCATCTTCGGGGTGGGGGAGAAGGTCTGG